CCCCCTGAGCTCGTCTATTTTATTACGTAAGCTGCGTGCATTCGCGTAGAAACACTTTACTCTTCCCTGCCTTTCCTGCACACCAGTACGCGGCGGTCTAAAGCTGCTCGTAGTGGCTGTCCCTTGCTTGTGATCCCCTGCTCCCCCATCTACAACCCTAAAAAAGGCTCATTTTCTTTCATGATAGCTAATCCGACTGCTACAGCTCCCTCTTTCGTCAATTAAAGTTGATAAAACTTTTTCATGTCTTCCATTTATACAGAAGACCAAATAAAAGTAAACCAGTGGAAAGTTAGTACTAACCAATCAGACTTTCTTTTTTACCTTATAGAACTCTATTACACCTGATGGAATTTTCAACACCAAGGGGGCTTGAAATTTTGCCCCAATTTTCTATACTCATCTCTAAATTCATCAAGTCATGTCTTTGTGAACTGTGGCTCCTTCTTCCCTGAGATTCCCCTCCATGACTGAATTGCTGCTTTGTGAAATTTCTATCTAATCCTTCATGTCATCTGAGATTTAGTTCATGTTCTATACCATATCCTAATGTTTGTTACTCCTAGGGTTATTGCTTGCGCAATTTCTGGAATTGTTATTATTTACTCCCTCAATTATAAAAACATGGAGAAATGGATATTTTTTGCCACAGAAATCAAATTGCTTGTTCATTCAAGTAGAAAATACTAACTTGAGCAAGGGGAACACAATGCAATACTTGTGTTTGTGCCTATTAACAGAAGGAAATGTATCACCTAATGCAACTCCATCTTCCAACAAGGTAACCATTGTGAATGTTCCCATAATAGGACCATTCCTTACAGGAACTTGTAGGAAGTAGTCAACTTTAGGCAGGTTGTTGTAGTTCTTGCTGATGTGTTTCAAGTGGTAGCAACAGTCCTGTATGCTAGAGCCTTCATGATGGCAGTTTTGATTATATATATTTATATATATTGAAGCATCAGCCTCAACATTGATGAGTAATGGGTTAAAGTGGAAATGTGAAATTTGTCTTAGATGAGAATTTTAAGTTTGGTGTGGATCTTGGGATGTCATGCTGGTTTAATATGGGGAGAGTTCATAAAGGTTGTGGGAGAGGGTAGTGAAAAAAATAAGGCCAGTTTCTTGCCCCTTCTGGTCCTCAATTGAGTGGTGTCCATCATTTCATTGCCCTTCTAAGACTAATGCATTACAATACCACTTACTGGAGATGTTTCTTAACAACCCTTTTGCTCCATGTGTTTATTTATTTATTTAAGCGATTTCTGGAGAGGGCAATGGAAAGGAGTCAAGAGCTGAGATCCAAACTCAGAGCTCTTGAAGTGCAACAGAACATACCTGTTGAGCTAGTCTCATATCAAGACTCTCCTAAGGTGATGTCACACATGGAGAGAGATACAGTGCCAGAGTTTCAAGTGCAGGAGTCTGAGAAATCACCTTTGAAGAAGGAGACACACCAAGAAGGTAGACCAAAGCTCTTTACGTTCTATGGCATACTTAGAATGTGAGCTAACCCTGATCAAGGATCCTTTTCACATATATTGCAATGGGTTCCTTCTGAGCTTGGATATTACTTTTCTTTTCACCCTTCAGGTAATACCACGGAGGAGGAGGAGGATAAGGAGAATGTTCTGGTGACTGGAATGGAAGAGCCAGATGGTAGTGTGAGTGAAAGGACAAAACAAAGACTGCAAAAATTAGGGAAGCTATATGGTGGGACTGAGTTTGATGGTAAGACTTTTCTTCCCAGTTGTGATGCACAGATACCAAAAATGGCACCAAGTACAGCGTGTTCAAAATGTCATACATCCCATGCAGTTATGTTATGTTCAGTCATATGAACTGAGGTAAGGAGGAATTTCATGTAAACATGACTTTATCACTGTGTTCCATGACTGTCAACTCTGAACAGTGCATCAGTGCAACAGTGTTCAGTAGTTTGTTGCAGCCTTTTGGTGAAGAGTGTGAGGAAGCATTGTTCCAGCAGGATAATGCAACTGCTCATGCAGTGATGATATTTCAAGTCTATTTTTCCCTGGTGGCTGATATCCTCATGGCTGTGGCCTCCACTCCACAAAGACTCTACTTAAAAGGTGCTCTCTCACCCACATGCTGAACAGGAACATATTTTTTTGGTTGAGTTCATCTTTGCCAGGAGCAACAAGGACAAAACTTCCTACTCCTCTTGTATTGATGAAAAAGACTGATACCTATACCATGAGTTGTGTGGCTTTTTGAACACCCTAGATATTGGTGAAGTTAAGAATGGCTGGTACCCACCCACATGACAAATTTACTGATGCTGTTTGCATTTTTAGTTTAATTGCAGAAGTTCACAAGTCTCTTTGCTCCTTGCTGGCTTCCAGGGGGGGGGGGGGGGGAAGCAGAAACCTCTTAATCTCTTCATTCAGCTATGCTTAAGAGACTGTAATCATAACCAGGGGTACAATTAACTATTAATAAAATCCCCCTTGCCTTTCTGAAATTCAAGCCTGGAAAAATAACTAGTTGAGACTTTTAGGTTCTTGTGCAAGTATGATATCCTCATTTCTTCTTCAATTTCTCACCAATGCATGCAGGGATGTAATATTATTTTTCTGATAATCCATGTTTTGAAATGTCAGTTGCCTCATTTCCCATAAGGGTAGTGCAGAATATTGACTCTGATTTGGGCCATCAGGATACATGTTCGTTTGGCATTGCTGGATGTATTAGGCTTCAAGAGGTATTCGCAGAAAGAGAAGGAAAGTGAAAAAAAAAAATCGAATTTGTGGATGCACTCTTGTGCTAATGGGACTCTATTGAGCTGTGAAAGTGAGTGATAGATAAAAGGCATTGAGATGACAGAAGTAACTTCTGCATGGGTAAGATAGTGCAAGAAACAGGGGCTGTATTCATGAAAACTTAGTAAGAATGCAATATTCTTATGAAGCTGTTATCTTTCATATTCATGAAACTTTGTAGCTATGATGATAAGCCAGCTAATCATAAGGAGCTGGTAAATCAATTGCATAGTGGAATGTGACATTCTCATCATGCTGGCAGCATGACTCGCAAGTCCCATGGAGACTCTTACAGGAAATGTTAGCATTATTGGAGGTCCTACAGAATCTTATTGCAAAGCAAATTACCTCAAGGTTTCAGATGTCAAAGGAATAGTTATGGACCCAGTATCAACACTGGTAGCATGGAGAAAAGAGTGGTTGATGACCAAATTTCACCAGTGAGGTGATTTGGGTGCTCATTGAAGAAATTGCGCCAAGGAAGAATGTCATGCTGTAGAAATTCAGCTCAAGTGCTACAGGAAAAATGAAATCGCAAGCATGGGATTTAGTGGCTGAGGCAGTGAGCTGTGTCTCCTCTGTGTGGAGCACTGCCAAAGTAAAATATTATTCATAGACTTGAAGTCAAGTGCAAAGGCAAAAGGAGTTGAGTTTCTTCAGGAGACTAGCAGGACTGGCAGTGGATTACCATCTTTCCCACTGCCCAGTCAAAAGATTTTTTGGGGGAAATAATGGGGGAAAAAAGCATTGTGGGTGCATTATTATCTTCCTTTTCTACCACTTAATGAAAGTGAATGACCCCTTGACCTCCAAGGGGAAATCATGCTAATCTTGCGCACATACCAGTATATCCTGTTCCCCCCCCCCAGTGTGAATGAACCTTAGCTTAATTGAGTCATCCAATTAAAGAAAGTTCCACAGATTGCCTTGTTATCATTATTCTGGGCACTTACAATGCCTCGGGGTCACTCATAGACTTATGAAGAAAGTTAAAAACTTTTGCACTTTTGTGCATACCAAAAACTGCAGCTTTCTTACAACTGTACAAAGTATCATATGAACATCATGAGCAAAAATATTACATGAATACCACATAAGAACTTTGTGGCAACAGAGGTTTGATGAAAACCACTTGTGAACTTTTCTTACAAAGAAAAAAGTTTGTAAGAATGTTCTGTGAATAAGGCCCCAGCTTCATAGTTCTTCCCCGCTCTATCTGTTATGGAATAGGTGGAATGGAATGGTCTTCAGAACCTGAAGGATTCACTTGAGTCCTAAAATTTTAATCCGTGGAAGTTTCCATTCTTCCTTTTCCTATTTACTCACATCTATCAATGAAGACATGGTTTGCATTGATGGTTCAGGTCAACACATGGGTGTCTTCAAAACTACAGTGATTTTTTACTATGATGTTGATTGCATCCTCCAACTGTGGTGGAAACAGAAATTACTTAATTCCCACTTCAGTCATTGATTTACCCAGGAGCAGCTGTTTTGAGGCAGCAAGTGTTGCTTAGTTGGAGGACATGTGGGTACCATTCAAAAGGGGATAGATGGGGTGCAATCATTCAAAAATCAAAGTACCACCATAACTGGCCTAATATAGCACCCAGATTCATCATGACCAATGTGATGCTCGATGTTCAATGGAAAAGCCTGCTCATGGCTGGTGTCTGCAGGCATTCTGCATTCACATGGAATAGGCACTTATCATGCCCTCACAAAATTGAATATTGGCAGAGCAAAATATTATATTGCAGATATTTATCAATATTCCTCATACCTGACAAAAATATTTTGCTCTGCCAATATCAGAACTTACTTGAGGGTGTGATTTCATTACATCCCTTGATATTGGTCACATTTGGGTCAGTGCATCTTAACTTTCTAGTGCTCTATATAATTGGGGTTGATTGAACCCAAATTTACTTTGAAGAATAATATTGTCTGCTCTTCCAGATGAGGATGCATTGAGCAGTCCTCTTCCTCCTGCAAGAAGAAGAGCTGAACTGGAAGAAGAAATCATGATGGTGCCCATTAATAAACCTGAAATGCCTGAAGGAGGAAGAACTGCAGCTGAAAGAGCTGCACGTTCTGCTCGATTGGCTGCTTTTGCACAAGAAATGAATCAACGTGAGGATGATCTGCGTCGTGTTGACTTGAAGTCTCAAGGTGTTGCAGTAGATGAGGGCAAGACTCAACATGCACTCAAAGTTCAGTCCATGCCAAGGCCCGACAAGAAAACTCTGATGTCTCCTATGAAAGGATCTAAATCACAGGACCAGTCTGAGCAAAATCTCCCACCCATCCAAGAACCAAAACAACACAGTGGTGATAGGCCTGCATCCAGTAGCTGGGATCCTGTTATCATTCAGAAATTGGTGAGAATTTTCCATTGAACTTTTTCATAAAGTAAAACAACCAAACCTTGTCTTGGACTTTATTGCATGCGGTAATGAATATCAGACTTGCTAAGTATAAGCTCTATTACAATTTTAAAGTGGAAGTGAAATAAGCAAGTGATGAGGTCCATGCCATCTAAATTTTCCAGGAGGCTCAGGGCTTCAAGCATTCCGACTCCAAATCCAGGTTGATCTATGAGTTTCAGGAGGTGAATGAGAGGAAGGGAGAGGAAACTGTACTTATGGCCCCATCTCTCCTGTCTGCAACAACTACTCTGATGCCTTCAGATGCTGTTGGAACAAAGGAAGAGGGAATTAAAGTGGATACAATAGCAAAGAAGTTTGGCACTGATTATAATGCACCACCACCACCACCAAAGCTTCCTTCATCTCAGAACACCATGTTGCAGTCATCCATTAAGGGGAAGGTCCAGTCACCTACCAAGGTTCAGACCTCCAAGGTGGCAAGTATTGCTGCTAAGTTCAACTCTGGTCAGGTCATTGTTCAAAGGGAGAAGGAAAAAAGTGCTGGTAAGTATTTTTTTCTTTGCTTCCTCCCAGAGGTGGGAAAAGTTATTCTGCTTCCCGGTAACCATGGTTTACCTTCCCAGTTCAGCAGGTGTGTGAAATGACACTGTGGCTCCCAGGACTGAGCAGAGGCAAAAAGTGGGGGGGTTGGCAAAAGATCAGTTTTAAGACACAATTTGGCATGGAAACGCTTATACGCGAGAGTAGAAAAGTTCGTGGACTTTTATTTTTTATATTTTGAACGCTTGCACCTAGAATCTGCATTTTGCTACTTTATGATTATGGCAAGCATACATGACATTCCATAAATTTCGTACATAGACAAACCTTACCAGAGCGGAAGTAAACAATCATGGACGAGGACCCTGTGAGAGAGCAGCGGACTGTGACCAATTTCCTAGTGGCTGAGGGTGAGAAGGTCACATCCACGCACAAACGGCTGCGAAATGCCCATCAGGACCAATGCTCGAAGAAACGTGCGATATTCAAGCAGGTGGAACTATTTAAAGCCGGACGAACACGAATTGAAGGTGACACTGAAGTCAACATTCGTCGTGTTGGACGAGCTCATTCGGACAGACCGTTTCAGTCGATCAATTGGAGCATCAAATCAGTCCTTGAAAACCTTTCACAGCCGTTTGTGAGTGGATGCAGCCTTACCCTTGGCCGCAAAGAATTTATCAATCCGCTGCTCTCTCGCAGGGTCCTCGGCCATCTTTGTTCTCTTCCGCTCTGGCAAGGCTTTCCATCTTCATAAAATAGCAAGATGCGGATTTTAGGTGCAAGCGTTCTATGTACAAAAAATGGCCCACGAACTTCTCACCCCTAGTGGGGATTGCACAGAGAAGTTCTGCCATTTTTAAAATTAAAATTGAATGTCATTCGAAAGGGTCTTTAAAGGTTTTCTGCGGAGGAGCACTTCGATCGATATTTTCATTTCTATACTGAAATATTTTTTATTTATTGAATTCATACTTGAATTCTGTCTATTCAGTCGGCGAACGACCTCTGAAACGGCACGTGACTTCAACGTGTTAGGCTTCTTCGCAAAAGGCCGAAGAGATTGAGGGTTCAATTAGGGCACTTCGTTGCTAGACACCAGCAGATACTCTCAGTGACGAGATGCATACGAGTTGACAGGACAAAAAAACTTCTACGTACCCGGTCTGGTACAGTACATGAAGTGCGAGGTGAGATTGGACCGTGGCATTCGCATTCGCCACGTATCGAATTTTCCCGACTCGAATTGGTGTCTCTGTTTCCCTAATTCCATGACTATTGTGACGATTAATGTTTATTGATGTTATTGGTGTTTGGATATTGCACATTACGGTCTGACAGTAGATATCAGGGGTTTACCTATGAAGTTGCCGTTTTTATGAATTATGAACTTTGACATCCGATAACTCTAGTTTGCCATGATATTTTCGCTTCATTATTCTTTTGTCTGAAAGATACATTCTTTCTCTCTTTGAACAGGTATAGTAGTCAACATTGTCTCTTAATTAGTGTGTGCAAAATCAGCTTTTGTGGAGACATGGACAAATTAAAAATTCGGATAATTTTTTAATATGAGTTCCGTCGTGGTACCAATGCGGCACAGACAGCCCGGAATATCAACGACACATATAGACCAACTACCACTAACGAACGTACAGCCCGGTATTGGTTCAATCGTTTCCGTTCTGGAAATTTTTATCTTGCTAATGAGTCCCGTGGGCGACCTGAGACGAAGGTTGATAACGACAAATTGAAGGCGATAGTGGAAATGGATCCATCCCAAACTTCGGGTGAATTAGCATCAAGGTTTGGTGTAAGCATTAAAACCATACTGAATAATTTGGATCAAATTGGTAAAATAAAGAAGCTGCAGAAGTGGGTACCCCACGAATTGAGCGAACACCAAAAAGAAGCCCGCGTGGATGCCTGCACTTCGCTGTTAAATCGTAACAAAAATGAATCTTTCATTCAAAAACGGCAACTTCATAGGTAAACACCTGATATTTGACTGCATATTTCACTATAGACGTTCATTAAAATTTTAATCTTAATGACACTTGATGGATGTTGACCATAACCACTACCATACGGCATTTAACCATTCCCCCCACCCTCCGGGGAATTCAGTTGCCGACCACTGCATTCCAGCGTTATGGACTGACACTTCGAGAGAGCTAGAGAAAATCAAATCACCCAGTGTTGGAAATCAGGCCAGACTAATGATCAACGGGATCGAAACTCCCTCTCATATCGTGTTGTTTTCCTTGGACTAGACATAATAGTCATGGTTAGGGAGAGGGACGTCCATCCAATGTATTCTCTCTGCTTTTGGGTCAAATAACGTCACTTGAAAAGAGACACGAAGGATCAATTAATCTGTCTGTGGAAAGCCAGGTGACCCAAGGCCGATTGCCGACCGATCGATAAAAGAGCGAAGGAAGAGGTTTCCGAGGCGCAAGACGCCACCTTAATTCTAATTCATGAAGAGTGTCTCTTGCCTCGTGAAACGCGCCAGCAAAATCAATCCTTTTTTATGCCGATGACAAGGCTGCCTCTTCATTAGGATCAGGCAAATTTTATAGGTGTTTTACTTCTCACCTTCTATTTGCTGGAGCGAGAACCTACAACCCCAGGATCGAGGGAATGAGCAATACTGAGATCTTTTTGCCTACGTGTTCGACACGGGAGAAAAAATCCATATACTCATTCCTGAATTTGCCGACGTCAATCGCTTGGAGATGTCTTCCCGGTTCCGCTATCTTTTCGCTAACAGTCCTCATTTACCTACTTTCAATCCATTACCATCTCTCATACCAAACACTCCCACCATCTCTCATCTTCCGGCTCTTTCTTTTCGCATCATTTCATTATTTTCCCCTTGCTTTTCATCGCTGTTAATTATTTGTTATCCCTGCCTTGCCTTCCAGATCGGTTGCTACCCTTACCGGTAACCTGGTTACCAGGTTACAGAACTTTTTCCACCCCTGCTTCCTCCCTGCTCTCTCTGGAAATGGAAAGTTTTTGTAAGTATGATGTGATTTATTATTTGCAGCTGATCCTTCACAGCTATCCCTGGCTGCTAGGAAAGCCTTATTTGAGAACAAGGACTCAGCTCTGCCAGTCCCAACAAGCATGATCCCAACAAATTTTCCTCCATCAAAGAAACACCTCACTGTACAAGCTGTGAAAAATGCTCCCATACATCCTCTCACACCTGCTGCACATCATGCTCTGGCACCATTGACCATCTCCAAGCCAATTGAGATGTCAAGTAGGAGGCCTTTGAACCTTATGACTGTTATGAGCCAAGGACATTATCATTAGTATATTGAATAGGATTCATAATTTGCTATTGTTTCCTCACCAGCTGAGCAACAGGTGTTAAAGCAGCCTGAGATGCAACAGCCAGGGAGTCCTCAAAAGGTTGCACATATTCCATCAAGCCCAATGAAAGCTACAGGCTCCAACACAGTTGCTGCACAAAGAATGCTATTTGAGAATGTGGAAGATGGTTGGAAGAAGACAGAGATCTATCAGGCCACTCAGGCTCAGCGTCAGCAGGAGATGGAGACTGTGCTTCATCGCTGGAATCAGCCCCCATCTGCAAGAACAAATCCATTAGAGCCTCTTGAAAACCCAGTGCTCTCAAACCCTCCTCAGTCCAATGCTTCTGTTCCAAAATTATGTGAGGAGATGAAATGTTTTTCAAAAAGGCATCCCTTCATAGTTGTAGGGGAAAGTGGGGCTATTGGGGCCACATTTTTGGCTTTCAATTCCCAAATGGTAGTGTTATAATTTTCTTGATTAACCTTAATTATCTCTTTACACATGACACCTTCTGAAGAGATTGGTACTTGCAGGGTGTCCCATAAGTCAAGTATCATTGGGAAACCACTTCACACTTTCAGTTACAGAATATGTGCTATGTTTCTGTTGATGCACATTGATAGGTGATGTTTCCATTCTTCTGGAAGTTTAAAAAAATAGAATGTCTCGTGTGATTCTTTTGCAAGCTTTGGTGATGCACTCCTCAAGAAGATCAATATCCCATATGTTGATGTGTTTTTTACATTTTCCCTATGATTCCAGATTTATGGGACACCTTGTAGATTAGATGCATCCATGTAATTTTTTGTTGAGTCAAAAGTGAAAAGAGAATTTTGAGTTTGAATTTGTACATTAAGGGGTTCCAGGAAGTTAGATTAGGGTTGCTATTGGACATGAAAGCCCAGAGTTTTGTAAGTCTTTAATTTATTTAAACAAAGCATCATTCTTTTCTTGACATTTGTTGAGTATATCAAGTATGCCTTTAAAAATGCCAGACTTGTACAAAGCAACATTATTGTTATAGCAGAGAACACCTACATTACTCTCTCTTCTTTGGTGAATTCATCCCTTCTCTCTGGTAATCCTTCCAGAAGGTAATCACTCTGGCAAAATCTTTGTATAATTTTCTACTTTCTCTTGTAATATCAAAATATTGCAAATAAGCTAGCTAATTAGTTGTGATTTAGCCCAGTTTTTAGTTCAAAAGTTAACCTATGATTTAAGTGACTCACATGGACATCTCAAATTTGTACAAGGACAGATGGAATGACCATAGGATTTTCTAAAGGAATTCTATGTGGTGAAAATTAGCAGATAAAAATACAAAAAAATTATCTGCCCTAGAGCATGGAAATGGAACAGTTTTCTTCCCAGAATGTTTGACCCTTGTAGCCCCACACCTGACCCAAGTAACCTCACCTTACCTCAACACATGATATTGCATGGTCATTCTAGATGGTAAGGGAGGAATCCCTGTTCCTCCTGCCCTTCCTCCACCTCCACAACAAGCACAAATTCAAGCTGGAGCCTTATCTAAGTCTCCACAGAAGGAATGGCAGGTGCCAAAGAGGCCTGGAAGACTTTACCCTGCATTATCAGATCTTGAATCTGAGCAGGAGACTGAAGCTGAAGCTGAATCCAGGTCTGTTTGGCTGTTTCCATTAAAGATGGAAGCATTTGATATGATTCCGCTTGAACTACATGCATTCAGTATTCTGATGAAACTGTTCAACATTCTATTGTGATTGCTTTTTTAAATCCTACTGATCTAACAACCTCATTTCCATTTAGTATCCCATCAAGTCTGGAGAGTAGCACAGAACCTGGGGAAGAACAAGAGGAGGAATCAGAGGATGAGCCCATGGATAGAGATCTTAGACACCATTCACCAGTAAAACGACGCAGGTCCTATTACCAGGCCTTGGAATCTTTGCCTGAGAGCGAAACTGATAAGGTCACTATATTGTCAATACTGTCAGTATTATTCAAACTGCATGCACACACTCACATGATATGCTTGGGAATGTAGCTTCAGTTCTTTGTTGCTGCAAGTAAGATTTAGAACTATTAAAGTTATCTGCTTTCTGTTGTCTAGCAGAGAAAAAAGCCGCTATATCGATCTCACTGCACCAGCAAAGAACCTGGGATCAGTCAGTCTACAACATATTCTGTTACTACACGAATATCTCATCCGGCACTGTCCAATGCCAGTTCCTGTAGCCACATTGAGGTACAAATTGATTGACCAACTATGTTGGTGTGAGGAATGGCTGGAAAAGATTGGCATGTTTTTCATCTTGTCTCACATGTGACACCTGCATGTGCATGCAGTTTGATGGACAAATGTTAAGCCTTGCTTGTAATTGTGGACTGTTCACATGTATGATACTTTGCTGTTTCATTAAGATATTAATCCTTGTTCAAAAAAGTGTTTTCCTTTCCCATTTTCTCTGGTTTGGTTAAAGAAAGTCTCCATCAAGGAAAATGATATTTGGGGTGGTGGTGCCCTTGAAGCATGTGTGAGTAATCAAATTGGGTTTTATTATAAAGTCATACATTTTATGTGCATAGATTCAATGATATTTTGCAGGTGAGCCTGAGTATGACACCAACATCCTCAGTCACTTCTTTGTCCCGCACCATGGACTCTGATAATTACCCCACTCCACCCAAGCAGAAATGCTTCCCATCTCCAAAGAACTCTCCACAGCAGGTATGGTACTTCTATTCCTCACATGGTCTTTATCTGGCATCTATAGGGCTATTCAAAGGTCATAACACTGAATTTGACAACTGTGGAAGGCAAATGGTAAGATATGGAAAGGTACACACAGCCAGCATGAGGTACAGGGTGTTTCAAAAGTCTATATATAAAATCCTATGTAAAAGTTTATATATAAACAAGTGATGCTATATATTTAACTAGAATACATACACATCAAGAGCATTATGTATTGTGAGTCCCATATTTTTCACATAAACCTTAAATGCTGAACGTTATCAACTCAGCATTCAGAAATTCATTGCTCAATTCTCAATTTGCTCAATACTCAATCCAAGTTCCTAAATAAAATGCTGTATAGAGAGTTGTGCAACTTTTGAAACACCTTGTATAATGGTGCCGCTGTTGCCAAGAGATCAACTTATTGGGAGCTGTTGCATTCTGGCACTGAATCAGGACCTTTATGTACTGTGTGATGCAACTGTACTGTGATCATACTGTATGCCAGTCATATATCCACCAGCTTCTGCATGGTCTAATTGATCTACACTCTAGGTTTCACCTTTTCATATGTGACTTGCAGTTGTCTGAATAGGGATCATGACATTGTAATCCCTTGATTTTCCCCTGATATCCAGTGTCCAAGAATGGAGCCACAGATTTTGGAGTCAGAGGAGACCAAAAACTCCAACACAAGTGTGACACTGGTCCACACAATCTCCTTTTACAGGAGACAGAAACCAGTAGAAGTGAATGTTACTCCAGTGCAACAGATTGTACGTCAAGCAATTCTTCCACCAGACTCTCCTGAAGAAGACATTCCTTCTAAGAGTATTCCACTCTTGATACAAGAACTTCAGAATGAGGTTAACTTCTCTTTTGACTTTGCTTCATCTTAATACTGGCAACTTCTTCTTTTCTTTGTTTTACAATTGAGTGACTGGAAAGAAAACTGCTCTCTTTAAAATATTGGTTTCTCTAGCTCCAGAGGCAAAGGGTGAATATTCTGCTGATCATTTCCATAAAAGCAAGGAAAGTGGTGCATATAGATGAACCAGTTTTTGCTTAAATCCAATAAATGGCTATCTTTAACACTAAGGACCAGAATGGTCAACTTAACCACTGCATTAAATATAGTATAAAACTATTATTTGGTAACATTTTATTTGCTTTTCCCAGATTTTTGGCATGTTCAAAATGTTAAAATGTCATAATATCAATATTAGATTGGAAAAGTAAAAAGTGCGGAGGCCCTTAGTTGCCTAACGAGCAAAGTGCATTAAAAATCAGCAAGCAGTCAAAATGATTTCCTCAGTACTTATATAGTTTATAAAAAGGACCTCTGTGCATTTAACCATGTCAGTTTCTCTGGAATTTTGGCAGATATATCAGTTTTCCTTCTAGCCCTTGAAGCCGAAAATACTGAATTTTTCTTGGTGTCCTAGGTGGAGAAGCAGCAGTCCATCATACACCAGGCATGCAATGCTCTCAATGTGTGCAAGACAACAGCCGAGTTCCAGCAGAGCGTAGAGCAAGTCGAAGGAGAACGGCTTCTTCTTGTTGCAAGTCAGTCATTTATTGTGCAGTAGGGATATTACAGAAGAGAAATTCCTATATCTGACAAGCGAGGATCTAATTTTTCAATTGACTTTCATCACTTAATTGATGAATAGATAAGTGTGTCAGGAAGTCTTGAGTCATTATCCCAAGCAGCTGACCATGATTTTATGGTTAGTGTTTCTCAGTGAGTTTTGCATGTCTTGCAGAATGCTACACACTTGCGGCAAAATACTCCCCACATCCCTCAAAATGGATCGCACACGTTGCATAATGTTTCGTACCCCCTGCTCTCCTCCACTCCTCCAGTGCTGCTCAGAATGGCAAGACCACTTGGCAACCCTGATGAGAACTATGCTCGAGACTCTTAAGCAACGGCTCCACACAAACCCTCCCAGGAGGGAGTCGTCAGTTTCGCGCTTGGTCGTCATGGCGCCCAGGCGGAAGAGGAGCATTTCTGACACAAATAATATCTTTAGTTGGTACTTCATCGATAATAATTCCTAAGTGTGGAACTCCTCTTCCATTTACCTATAGGTCTTTCCATGTAGTACTTCAGTGTAATCCGTGAATTTGGGCGCTCGACATCCATCCATTCTAAAGACAAACCATGCATTCCTCTTTCCAAGTGTTGTCAGATGGACGTGTCATTCGGAGAGGCACTTGCTCACTGGGCGGGAGGAGGGTGTACGAAACATTATGCAACACGTGCGGATCATTTTGAAAAGAGTACGAAGCAATATGCTGCTCGTGCCTAACATTATGCGGCAGGTACAAAAGTCAATGGGAAACACTGTAATATTACTGTAAACTCTGTCCCAAACATTTTTGGAACCTTTTTCAATTTGTAGCACTTCGAGCACCTCATCTGAGTGTCAAACAGGAAAGAATAATGCAGTTATCTTGGTCGTGCGCATCATGTCAGCCATCCTGTATGAGGCACAATACTGAAATTGGACTAATGCGTCCGTACAGTTCTGGCGGCACTCCCTTACTGTTGTCTCGCTCTGAATCACCTATATTTCAAGAATCAGCAAATAGATTTTGTTCTAACTTTGCATGCATGTGCTCATTTGATACATTAGTCAACCCACAAAAGCACACAGCGGTGGCACGAACCTGTGGCTAAACGAGTGGCTAAAAATTGAAAAAAGGTTCCACATTTTTAGCCACTCGTAATTGGTTCAGGCTCCCTCTGTGCGCCTTTGTGTGCATTATTCTTTCCTGTTTGACACTCGGATGAGGTGCTCGAAGTACCCGCTGTCATTCTGTGAACAAGCACGTGACATTTGTCGAAACCCTAAATGCTGTACTGTTCGCATTCTCCTGCGTCGGGGGAACGGTGAGTTCCCTCCGGCTAGCTGTGCTCGCGCCGAGTGCGGCCGGCGGCAGTGGTCTGCCGCAACCTTACTTACAAATAAGCTGCTGCATCTCCAAAATGAATGAATGGATTTTGATATAACTTTGCATGCATGTGCTCATTTGTCTTCGTCAGCCCTCAAAAAGCGCACAGCGATAGTCTGAACCAATTACGAGAAGGTACAAATTGAGAAAGGGTCCACATTTTTTTGGGACGGGGTGTACATTCTTCCTGCTTGAACATGGTGCAACACAAGGCATTCATCTTTATTTGCAACTACTGTATATGATACACTTTATTAGTACAGGCAATTCCATGTAGCAATTTTGGAGAAGGGGGGGGGGGAGTTACCAGGAACATAATTGAATATAGTTTCATCAGTACAATTTGAGTTTAGATTTAATGGAAATTATTGGATTTAGACCAGAGGAGTACTTCACGAGAAATGGAGATAAATGTTAGGCCTCTAGCATGAGCTATGTCCTAGGACTATAGGTCAATATAGTATACAGCTTGGACAAAATGGCGAAGAGTAGAACTTTGGAGGCATGTATACTTTGGCGACAGCAACTTTGCCTGTATCTGAGTGCATACATGAACAGTACCTACTTGGAGCCACAATTTTCGTTTGATGTCACTGAGATAAGCTGATGTAGCAATAGTTAGCATTTAATGTTGACAAAAATGGGAAATTCCACTCCCAGTTAATGACTCCTGACTGGTGTTAAATCCACTCATGTAGCAAAAACTTCTTAAACTTCTTTTCATGACGCAAAATAAGCCTTAAAAAAATTTGAAATTCGAACGAAATTAATTATTCACTCTTATTTCTTCTTTTTTTTTTTTATCCCAAAAATTTCCAAAAAACACGGCCCAATCCTTCCTGATTAATTTGCAATCAAGAAAAACTTGAACTACAATAGCTGGTATAGTCGTGAAACACTGCCCCTCGAAGCAGTTTATTCTGCCATAGACTTAGCATGGGACGAGGTTTTTGCTGCCTCTTACCTTACGCGACACCTATAACTGCTTTTTTGAGTGGGCGCTTAGAAGCTACAAGATCAGCCCTCTGCGCGCACTTCATTGACTCGTCTCGCAAGGCCTGGGAGATGGAGTATTGACAAGAAGGGGGAAAGGAAAAGCGAGAGTCGTAATCCCGCTCTCTCCTTCCTCCCAAATCCCAGCAGTGGCGTGTCAAGAGTTTTTGCATAGCGGGGGCGACCTCAGCGCAATGACCACTCCCCTCGCTTTCATCTCGGTTGCACAGTGGCGTCCCAAGGACTCACGTTTTGGGTCTAAGGATCTCCACGTTCCTTTTCCCCTAAAGGAGGAACGAGTGCTGAGCTCATAGGGTTGGAGCAAAAGAGTGAGTGAGTGATTAAGAGGGGGGGGGGGGGGGGGGAAGCGGTGGGCCGACGGGTCCATCGGTCGACATGCTACTGCTTTTAACGACAGAACTTACCTCTTGTTGATCTCTATTGCAGCTCTCGCAAGTGATTGTACAGTTGAAAATAATCATAACCCCCCTCCCCCCTTCCTTCTAATTTGCCACTGCATGCATGTCATGTTCCTGTTGCGAAGGCCTTTCTCTCTATCTTCACCATGTGCACTGCTTCCATGATGCCATGAAAAATTGAACTTTTTGGCCCCCATGTTCATTCTCGTCCTGCTTCATCATTCCAGTATCGAAGTACCTGAGTACAGAAAAATACTCAGCCCTTTAACATCGCACAAACTTTAAACATTTTGTGGACCCTCCATCACTCACCCATCTCTTAGGACAGGTGGAGCAGGTGTCCCACCTCCATCTGGACACGCCACTGATTCCCAGCCATAAAGTTTTAGCTCCGCCCAACTCCCTGGTTTAAACCCACAATGGGAGTTGCCCCAATATTTATGCCAAGGACATCCTTATACATTTTTGTCGATGGGATGGGATGCACCCTATATTATTGATCCGAAGTATGACTTCTTCCATAGCCATAGACAAAGCCATCAAAGCCATTAGAGTAAGTTTTTAGGCACACATGAAGCAACTCTTTTGCAGCAGATATAAAATTATATGTTATATCACAATTTCTTTTTTCATCAGGATGAAAATGGCCACCTCCATTCAGAAAACTACTGCAATGGTCCCTGGCTGCCATTTGAGTTGGAGTAGCGACAGCTGTTGTTAATAAGAACACATTTTATTTTCTGTATCAATGTTTTAAGATGTGTAGCTTCCTTTTCCTGCATTTTTTATTTTTAAAACAAAGCAATGCCTAGCTACTTCACAGCTGTTCACAGGTTTCAGAAATGGGCCTGTTTTGCACAGTAAGATGAACAGTGGTCTTGCATGCTGAAAATCATCCCCCAAATTTTTGTGGGAAATGCTGAAAGGATCTTACCCTACCCAAGAAAGGAATGATGAAAAAATCAACATTGAAGATACTGCCAGTTTCTTTCAGGAGAGGGAAACAATGTTCTGTCATGCATTTAACTTTACCTGTCTCCAAGGTCTTATGGTCAAGCTGACTACTTTAAAATTGGGGAGCATCAGCATTTAGCTTATTGTAAGTTTACTTTGGTAAATTTAGGCTCCTGCTAATGTGAATTCAGTAACCATAACTTTTATCTTTCAATTATGAAATTTGCAGTTTTATTCTCATTTAGTGCTAGTCAATATGTGACTGTGCTCTCATTTTGGTCCATTGCTTTTTTCTCTTTTTGTCCAGCTGAGAAGAAGAAGGCAGCTCTTAATGAAATCCAGAGGTTGAAATCAGAGGGAGCAGTACGACACGCTCAGGACCAGATGCATGGACCCAGACCATTGGTCCAGACCCGAGGTTCCCTCACCCTCATGGGACTTGCCTTGCATCTCAAGGAGGAATTCTTCTCATATCTCATTGAAGGAGGAGGTATGTCTTATTGCAGATGAAAGCTGATTGTATGTCACTGCAGCCAAGCTTGACTGGAACTGGCTGCAAGGTTTGCCATGCGCTAACAACTGTAGCAGCATGTCAACCACATTGCAGCCAGATACAACCATTAGCAGGAATATACCTAATGAAATTCTTGCTTGCATTTAACAAATCTGTGCTGCTGCCTGCCTTTATTTTAGCTTCATCTCAAAATTAACCCTAAGTTCCTAGAAATGGAGTATTAACAGGTCTCATTAGATTTTGCTACATTTCATTAGCAGGGAACTTGGCTATAATATTGATAAGGAGTCTTCTTACTTTAATAGAATTTTCAATGAATTGAAGTAATCAGTTCCATCCCATGCACATCATGATCTTCATTCCATTACAAGGTGCAATGGTAATAGTCTTGTCCAATTCCTTTGCAAAGATTATTGCAACTGTATGTGAAGCTCCCTCATAGCTCTTTGCAGTCCATGTGCATTGACCCTTACTTGCTTTAGTCTTACTATGCACTAGAGGGGCAATGGACCTGAACTGAATGTGAAGTGCAGGTAGTCTTGAATTGACAAGTGTAAAACGAAAGCAAACCTTGTATTGGATGAACCTAAACTGGTCACAAACTGATTCTAAAGTGGAAAGAAGTTTGTGTTATGTTTGCATTTGCTCAATAAATGTTCATCCACAACATTTATGGGAAGATTGCACTGATACATATCAGTGGGTGCATTCATCTGGGCTATGACTTAAGTCATGACACTAAGCACTGGATGTAAAGGGTGATGATGCAGATATCCACCCCAAGTTATGTGCTATGACCTGATCTCAGAGATCAAGTTATTCCCATTGTGTCATCTCTGCAAACATGGCCTCTACCATGGAAGGTGTCCGGCAGCAGGTGTGCAAATTGTTGTTGGGTGTGAGACAACCATTATCCTCGAATGACACCATGGTATATCAAGATAGATGATGTGCTGAATCACCCAAAAGGTGATAGTAGGGGGGAAGCTTCAGTGTGCAATAGTCTAGCATTCTAGCATCATGAACACACCCAAGTGGTAATTGTTGCTTAAAGTGTATTTTGCACCATTTCATTATTTTCCATTTTCAACTACCTCTGGTGGTACTCATAAAAACATTTAAACTATAAACCTGTGCACCACCACAAGACTCAATGCATTCAGAAGATTGACAAATGTCCGAACAGGCCATACACTAAGTTAGACCAAGTTAGGCCAAGTCACAACTGAATGCACCCAATGTATCAGTGTCAAACACTCCAAAATATCCTCCAAATTCCTCAAAGTCAAATGAACTTCTTATGGACTTGCGTTCCTGTCAGCTGATGAGTGAGAATCATGAGAATAAGCCCCCACAACTTGGAATTATTTAAGTTTGAGTAATCACAGAAGACTTGTCATGCTGCATCTAGCATAGAAGACCATGAATTTTGTGGTCAATAATACAGAATGAGAAATGACCTTTGGAACTCTCAGATTCATTGTCCTCACTTTCCTTTCTCACTGTCCTTCCAAGAGTTTGAAACGGACACATCATGACAAACATTTCACCATTTTTGTAGGGAAAAGAGAGAATCACTTCCTACATTCTGAATGCATTTGGTAATAGCCTCATATGCTTGTTCAAGTAGTTATTTCCTGTATGTTGGGTGTCTGAGAAAAGATGTAAAAAAAAAATAATCCAGATCCAGTTAAGAAATTGTTGTGCTTGAGGTACAAATTTTCACAATGAATAACTCTTGCTGAAAGGTGTAGTTGGCATCATATTCATTTACTTTGCTTTGATTTACATTAGCTGAAATCACTCTCTCTAGTAAAACCTGAATCAATCATGAACTGGAACTGAACCAAACTCAAACTCAATTTATATTGGAACTTGAACTCAACTAGAATGAACTTAATCAGCACCCAAACTTGATTGATTCTATTATGAACTCCAACGTAACAGAGTAGCCCAGCACCTTAACTCAGAGATGCAGAAGTTTCCATTTTGATGGTTTTCTCAGGAGAAACCCAGGCAGGTTTTCATTGGTCAGTACCATGCTGCATTCGTTTGTTTGGTCATCTGTAGGTAAGTAGGGAGATGACAGTGGAGTTGCTGTACAAGAATGTGGCATGTTAATAAACATATGATTATATACATGTGTTGAGTTTGACTTGGGATCCCAAGTAGCCTTCAACTTGTTTTTGCTGCTAGTAAATTTACTTCTGGACCTTAGATTAACTTCAGAAATATTGAGTAGATTCATTATATTCAGCCAGTTTCACATCTTCCATCATATGACTACAGCAGGATTTTCTTGGGAGAGTCTCACTCACAAGATATCCATGGTTCCCCTTTCTTGCAAGAAGGGGCTGAACAGTGGATGACTGTATTTTTTACATCTTTGACCAAACCTCTCACTGTTTCCCCCATTGCATCATTGTTTTATTTTTCATCAGATATTTTATTGTGCATGTTTCCATGTTTTCTGGAATGCCCCTGACCAGAATCCATGACCATTCAAACCATTTGTTGCCAAGCAGAGGACTTCAGTGCTCAAACTCCTTATAGCCATAGTCTTTTTGCACGTCAGTAATTCTGCCAGAATGTAATGCATTTGCTGTGCCAACCGTGTATGTCGCATGCAAGTTGACCCCGACGTGCAAGTTAAACTTGCATAGTAATTAATCATGCAAGTTGAACTTGCACGGCCTAATCGTTGTGGGTTAACTTGAACAGTCAACCACTGTGTGCAAGTTGAACTTGCATGGGCAAACCCTTGTCCATGTTAACCTGGATTGCACATTTTTGTGCAAGTTCAGAGAAGCACTTCATCTCAGCCAGAATAATGATCGCATGCCTTCGACCACCAGTACTCGCTTTATTTTCGAGCCAGCGCATCAAACACCATGATATGAATTAGTTGATCACCCTAATGAATAAATGAAGTAACTGCTTCATGGTGTCAAGTTGTCCATGAAAAAAGAGTCTGCAATAACTTTGCCAAATGTCTGCATTCAAGCCTTTCTGTTAAGCACACCTTTTTGATTCATTGTTGGAATGCATCCATGACCCATGGCATCAAGAGTTGCACTGGGTATTACTGGCTATGCACTTACACCTTTTGTTTGTTTTTTTTCTTAAATTTAGATGCATTGTTCGCAATAGCGTATTTTAAGGGGGCAGGAGGTGGAGAGCAGCTGCCTCCCCTGGTGCCCCCTTAGAGGTAATAATTTTTTCCCCTCATATCACTTGGGTGGGGTTTGGCACCCCACTCCATACCCTTCAGCCAAAATACGCCACTGATCGTTTGCCTTTCTCACAAGCTCCTTCTTCATCCTTCGAAGACTCGGACGTCCTAGTGCTTGAAGATGGTCTTCCCATGCTCCAGCCAGGCTTTCTTCTCATTTATCTTTGTAGCTTTGACCACCTCGATGAGCCTCTCGTACCTATCTATAGGGAACACTACGTTGTTGGGAGACTTGGTCTTCTCTTAGAGCTCCAACAGATAATCATTGAATGGGATTTTTGTACCTATTATCATGGATTTGAAGGATGATTGTCAGAATAAAATCACTAGAGCTGCTGAAGAAATGAGAACGTTCACTCTCACTTGTATCGCACAGAACAAGTTGAGAGAATAAGGCTGTCAGTGAAAGCGAAAGGATGAAGGCACCTCCCTTATCATTTTCCCAAAGCCAGGCGCACTTCTTGTAAGTCTTATTCTTGATAAAAATCGTCAAAATGTATATCATTAGGGGTCTAGATATCCCTCCTGAACTTGCACAAAAGTTCATCGTGTGGGTTAACTTGCATAAGAAAGAATGCATGCAAGTTAACATGCATAGGGAAAATTTGACGGGTTCAAGTTGCATGGTATATTTTATGCAGGTTCAACTTGCACGGAAAGGTCAACTTGCATACAACATATATGCACAATAGTTTGAAATTTATTGAAATATTTGAAATCTTTTGAGATTTCAGTCAATTACTATGTGCATTAAGCTGTTTCAGTTGATGTTAAAGGTGTAGTTAGATGTCCAAATGTAGATGCATGCATAGATTTGGTCACTTTGTGATAGAGGACTTTATCAGCATCACTCATGAAAATGGATTTTTCTTCCTTTTTCAGACAACTCGTTGCATCACTTTATTATCCTTGTCCGCCATCGGGGCCAGGTGATTCCCACACAGATGTTGACTGCTGATGAGCATGGGATACAGAAAGGATGGCTTGTCTTCCCAAATGACATCTCTTTGCATGACCTTGAATATGATTTCATGGTGTCCCTTGAAGTCTATGCTCTCCAGTCAAGTCGTAAGAACCTGGATCATCGCATCAAGTATCACATCAAGAAAGTGAGACACAATCTGCCAAGTACAAAGAAATACCATAATATTTATTTCTAATCAGAGTTTCATTTCTAACCTCATGATCAATATTTTCAGGAGAAGAGCACATTGAGGTTGACACCAAAAAAAAAGAAGCAGGAGTCTCATATGAAGTCCCCAATGATCGGTAACCCAGCTTCAAGTCAACATGGATCTGTCAAATTGCCTGCCTTTGGTCTTGTTGGAGTAACACATATCAATATTGCCAACATCAGTGAGCACAAACGACAGCTCCAACATGTATGACTCCTATATCAGTACTCATCCTTATATAAGTCCCTATGACTGCATTCTGATGTATTTCACCATGGAACAGGATCTTGCCACAATTTTTCACACAAGCCAAAAAATGATACTTTCATTGTATATAGAAGGCAGCATTATTTCAAAAGCTGATTTTCTTGAATTCATTGTTCCTTTCATATTGATTTTGAAAGGAAACCCAACTAGTAATGGCATGAACCACCCTTTGCTTCAGTGACAGTGTGTATGTATGGCATGCTCATGCCCTTTGTACCTGTCAATGTTTAGAGCATTCCAGCATCCTGGGAAGCCTTAGATATCAGGGGTGTCAAACATATAGCACGTGGGCCAGATCCGGCCTGCAGAGGTGGTTCATCTGGCTTGCTGTTGGTTTGTGAAATTTCCACTTGGATTGTCTGTCATAACAAATTTCAGTGAAAAATTATGGGTGTGGCCCACAGACGCCTGCAGGGTAAGGAATGTGGTTCGCCGATCGATTTGAGTTTGACACCCCTGCCTTAGAGGATTCCTCACTTTTGAAAAGTTGGTCCTTTCAATGGCATCCCAAGTATGTGCATTGATCAGAATAATTTATTGGAAAATCAAAGATATTGTCATGATAGAACCATTTTTTCACGATGTTGTGTTGAATGGTGTGTGACAGTCTAGGAAATTAGTCAGGTATAGACTTTATTTATTGCTTCCCTTGGGCTGCTGAGTTTTAAATGGCCAACTGCACTCCAGTGCTGAGTTTTCAGTGTGCTCTCTGTCGTATCTTAATGTGCTGGACCAGTATACTGGAACGCAGCAGCTAAAAGGTGAATTGTTTAAATTTTGTTTACCCTTCATTTCTGTGTGACATACAATGTACAACCAGTGCAGCAGTTACTTGTTGCACCTCTCCAGTTGAGAATTTAAAAAAAATTTTAAGTCTGACGGTGTTATCTGAAAGGTGGAACTCCAAACTCATGCTTCTTGACATTTGCAGTGTTTTTCACTTGACTTGGACATATTTGCATGGGTTGTTCCTTGTGCACAAGTGTCAAAGTCAAGTGAAAAAATGTCTGACTCAGGTGAAAAACACTAAATCACAGTCTCCTCCAGAACCAGGCTATGTTTATGGATTTAAATCTTATGGTACTGAAGGGTTAATCAGCAGTGTAGTTCCCATTAGGTTGATGAGATCTAGCATGTTGCAAAGCAATACGGAAGGCATGTCTTAACGTTAGTATAGTTATAATAGACTATTGGACATTCACATCCTGCTGTAATGCTATGGCCTTGATATGGAAACTCATATGAAATGTGTGGAGTTTAGTTAGGAAGAAAATCAGCCACATGCAAGTGCCACATGGAGTAAAACTGTATCATCAAGGATTCCATGTTAATGATTGTGTTGCAAGAATTTTACCCTTTCAAAATAACCATTTTCTGCTATTCCTCTCCATACATAACTAACTTGTGCGACTTCTTTTCACCTTGCTTGTGAAATGAAATTGTAAAGATATATAAATTTAAGCCAAAGTATTCATGCATGAATATCTCATGAATAGACTTTATGCCGTTGCATCCAACATGAAAAATGTCAGATGAGGGTCATGGTATGAAAATCATGTAAATTACATATATCTTCTAAAATCGCCCACATAAAGAGTACATAATTGGTAGATCATTTCAGTCCTTTTACCAATTCATGTTGGTAAAGTTATTGCACACACTAGGTCAGGCTGCGGGAGTGAACCACTTCCCAGTTTTAGGGTGTTTTCATAATGCTGTACCAAGCATATGAAGGACAGGCATTTTCATCCAAATGCATCACTAAGCTTTTGAAAGAAAACATTTAACAAAAGAGGTAAAAAGATTTATTTAAAAAATCAGAATAACTTTGATTTAGGTGCCTCCAATGTCGCCTCTTTCTGGGATTCTGGCTGTGACGGCTCATTGTAATGTGGATTCAAGAGTGGAAGCCAGGGGATTCCTCACGATGTTTGAGGACGTTGGAGGTTTTGGATCCTACAGAAGACGCTGGTGCCTCCTTCAAGATGGGTTCCTGAGTTATTGGACGTATCCAGAGGACGAGAATCGAAAGGCAAGCCTGCCTTATATCAACTACAAATTCATGCTATCAGGATATAATTTACTGGCCTGAAGTGATTCAGTCATTCATAAATCCTGGGTTTTTTACTTGCAGGAGCCTATTGGTAGTGTGGACCTACGTCAGTGCATCACTGAGGAATTCAAAAATGTTCGTCGGGATCGTTGTTCCCGCAACAACACATTCCTATTGGCCATCTCTCGGCCATCTATGCCAGCTGACTTCAACAACTTAGTAACTGAGCGGAAGGGACACGAAACCATCATCAGGTATCACAGCAAAATAACATTAAACTTTTTTACTCATATAGTTGAACCCTCAGAGTTTTCCCACAGAGTCCCTTTTTTTTTCTTTCAGTTATCTACTTAGTGCAGACACAAAGGAGGAGATGCAGTATTGGTGCAAGCAACTTAGTCGAGCTGTGTCAGACATTCGTGCTTGGGACCCAGAAGCACTGAGGCCAAAACCAGAAGGGAGTCCTGAGTACCTTCCCACTATGTGCTAGCAGGGCAGAGGCTTTCTCATTCTTTTACTAATCCATTGCTGTCCATTAGCCTTAGAGTGATTGATGAACTTTTCTGTGGAGATCAAACTTTTTCCTGCAACCATTCTGGTCAAAGTTTTGTTATATTGTATATCTTTTCTTCATATTTTCCCCTGTTTTTGTATGCAGTTAGTCTGTATCCTTGTTCAGCAGATACTCATGCTTATTCAGCTTCCCTCTGCAGATTCTCATGCATTGCTTCAAAACTTGAATATGAATGTATTATAGAAGTCATGCCTCCCCATTGGGCCATGCTTACAAATGAACAAATTCTGGACAAATAATTACTTTTTCTCATATGTGACCAAAATAAACAGAATACTGAATATTTGGTGATGTCCTGTGAGGCCTAGACCTTTTCTTTCCACTGCTTCCTCCAATGGGCATCAGCCAGCAATCTCTCACGTTCTGTACGAGGCTCCCTGTCCTCTCTGAAAGAAAAAGTATTGGAATTGAATTTTAGAATGGTGATTCCAGGTTTATATTGAATGAGGGATGCACAGATCTGAAGAACATGCACAAAAGTGCTTTGCCATAAAGTGAATTAAGCAAAAAAAAAAAACAACTTGCACATTATTTTGTCATCAGGGCAGCAGTTCTCAAACTGTTGCAGAGGTCTCACAGACAAGACTGACTGGTTGGCATGAACACAATTGTCAACTTTCAGTATTACTCACTTCCCAAAATTCATTTTCTTTCATTTAGGTGGGCACTAAAATGGTATGTTTTTTTAATAACCCTTTGCCACTGAAATTGTCCTGAGAAAATCAGTGAAAGAAAAGAAACCTTGAAATGACCTGTTGAGATATTGAGAGCATTCCTGAGGGAAAGGGGCTTTGCAAAGCACTTGGGAGTCACAATATCTCAGTTTCAGAACTGCTGCTGGAGGGGATACTCAGCATGCTTTGAAATGTGAGATCCAGCAAAAGCCTAAGGGTGGATTTATGAACAGAGAACTATCAGATAATGCAGTTTCATTCCTGGGAAAATACATGATATTCCCTGGAAATATAGCAGCATTATTGGATAGTTCTCTGTTCAAATATCCACTCTAAGTTTTGTTACTGCCATCTTGATCAATACTGTACAGGGTGGTGCAAAAGTCTTGCATCATAGGGGATTTCACTGTTGCACTAAATTAATTCCTGTTTCTTTCTTGCAGCTTGTAATGGCTGCTAAATTAACAAAAGATGAGAGGGTGGAGCTAAGATATGTTCAAACATCATGTGTACAGCAAATCAAAGTGTTTTCACATTAATGGCAAACAATTAGAACATTTACTGTAATTTATCCTATGGTGCATGACTTTTGCACCACCCTGTACAATAACCTATGCCAAATGTTTACATTGCTCATGCAGTTTCTGGGTTCTTTCCATTGCTAATTGCATGCAATTATTTCTCTGCAGGCCTTAAAAATAACATCCATCACATGCATAGTAGCAAATGTAGACCTGTGCAGAAAAGTCTGTTGAAAACTGTTGCAGAAAAGTCAAATTGGCACATATGGCAAAGCCTTGAAATCAAGAAAAGGTAATATTTCCCCCAAGATTGATGTTTTATTATATCACTGAAGTCCAGTAATAGTGATGTTATAGTCATGTCATTTTCCAAAGTATCACAATACCTCCAGTATGTTCCCAAAACATGCAAAAAGAGCATGCTTTAACCCTTTCAATGGTGTCAATATGATGTTACATTGATGTTCTCAAAACTTTCAGATATCCCTACCAGGGAAAGGGTTAAATTGTTGGATGTTCTGATCCAATTAATCTCTTCTTAGGTTTGTCAGACCAGCAAGATCAGCAAGCAAGACATTCTGCAAGGTTAGACGTAACAAGAGTGGCTTAGTCACTAATTATCCAATGGAATATGAAGTTACAACTCCCAGCATTCTCTTATACCTTCTGAGTAAAATTAATTGAAAACTGAAATTCTGAATAATAATTTACTGCATAAAGGATACAGGTACAGGACCTCAAGTCTCCAGCAATTGATATTTTAAAGCCTACTGGCTTAAAATTACTTGTTACATTGATTCCTGTTGGTTTTTCCATCCCTGTAGGTTGAAATAGTTCCTACTTTTATGCACTTGCCTTATACAGAGTTATTTTCCTCTAAAAACAAATACTGGGAATAAACAAAAAAGTTACTAATGATGGAACAAATGTACATTTTTTATTTAAAAAAAAAAAGTTTATTTCTTGGAGAATGCTCACTAGTGAAAGTATACTGACACTTCATTCTGCAATGTTATTGCATCATTACACAACCTAACCATGCTGGCATTTTGGCAGAAATGCCATGGATACAATCCATACAGGATGCATGGTACAGGTGCATGCAAGACTCAGATGCATGGAGGGTCTGTTAGTGCAGCAGGTGTTAAAACAGATGAAAATACCTGGCCTTGAGATCCTACTGTACCATGAAGATGATGACAATCTCATCACATTTTTTAAGAAACAAAATTTTAGGGGTGCAGAATTTTTTGGATGCAATGAGAGAGGGACTGTCACATAGAGTGAGGGAATTGATACAGGCCAGCAAGGAGGCAACATTCTTCAACGATGCCCTCCTTGGCCTCATGTTTCCTTCTACTCCCAGTCACACCCTTCCCTCCTGGTGATGGCTGTGGTCTCCTCGCTCAGTTGTGTGTATGCATTTCTGTCCCTGGAACAGGATTATTGCAATATCCCAACACATCCTCCTGTTGGAAGTACTCACAAAGAGAGAAGATGAATGTTTCCTTATTATCAATACTTTTAATTATTTGTTTCCCCTTTGGAGTTGTCTTTTTCTTTTCAAATATAGGTTTTCCAGATGAATTTTGGCACAAGTTGTTTCAAAATTTTCAGCACTCATCTCCCTGGTTTTCCTGTTCAATTTCAGCAGTGCCAGGGAATCTCCTGTTTCTGTCAATACATTAAGGATTCTTATTCAGGAGGGGCTCCTGAGACATGTACACATGACAAGGCCATCAGATGAACCAGTTCATGGTACCATGCATAATGCAAGACCCCACAACCAAGTCTCAGTCCCAGATGATTTTCCTAATGTTTGTGTAAAGTTTCTGCCTGCATATTCTTTCTTGTATCCAACAGAACAGGCCCCACACCTCATTGAAAGCAGCAGTCAAGAGTGAGTTGCACTTTTTTGAAACTGAGACAGAACTTGGACAATGAAGATTAGATGAAGCTTGCAGCAAACTCAGACAAAGAAGCTGCTCAAGATAGGAGAGAAAGCAATTCGGCACATTACCCATCAAAAACGCTTTACATGATTTCACTATGCACAAATTTGATTAGATGCCAAAGGAGAGAGCGTATTGAGAGCAATAATTGCTTCAATGTCCATGTGCATTCCTTTGATCAATAAAAGAATGACTGCTGAAAATATCCTATGTTTGTGTTGATGAACACCAGACTGTGTTATCTGTAGATCATGCATTCTGTTCTCAGAAAGCAACTCATGTGGAAACATTGGCTCTTTTCTTTCCATCTCTGCATACCCATGTTCATTACCAAAAACAGGATATACCCTTTGCACTGCTGAAAGTGAAAAGGTGGATGCCAAAATCCAATGTCTCCAACTGAAATTGAATGGGGAAACCTAGAGTAGGAGCACTGCCTGAATTGAAATTACCTAAATTCTTGGGAAAAACCTATAGTACAGGCAGTTGTGTTTAAATCTGATTACTCTTTATCTTTAACTGTATCAGTTACACTGCATCATGTTTTCATTACATCTTCAAATTGTGATTTCTTTTTTTTCAAGACAATGCTGTTAAGGATGGGATATGTAGGAATCAGACTCACCGATACAGGTAGTAATGCTGGAACATGAAAAGGAAGTCAAAGAGGATTGAGAAGAGACCAAGCCCAAACTTGGTTGGGTCTCCAAATATCGAACCCCAATCATCTGTTCAATTATATTTTCATTTTGACTTGATATGAAGGTAATATGCATTTTTGGCAATTGTAAAAAGCCAAACCATTGTTTGCAGCAATCATGAACATCTGTAAGATGCTGAAGACTCCCCCAGTGAAGTCACATAGGATGTTCCCTATACTCCAGCCCTGAGTGCTCTTTCTCCTGTAATTGAATACAGCCTGCAAAGGACACAATAAATGCAATAAACAAGCAATTATCTATAGGACAGACAGAAGGATAAAGATGAGTTCATTTAAGGAATGTTCTGTTTATTCATGACAGACTAGGGGTTTCATTTTGGGGGAAGGGATAGTAATTCTCAACACTCTGCTTAACCCTAGATGTAGCAATTGTTGACAGTTCACTCATCACAGGGTTTAACCTTGCTGCATCTAGGGTTAAACATGACACATGCCAGAAAGAATATAATGAACATGCTTAGTTGGTAATGTAAATGGTGATTTCAGCTTGGAGATATTCCCAACCACATGCCTTTCTTAGCTTTCCTGAATTTATAGTATGAAGATATACATGTCTTAAATGAAACAGATAATTTTTTCTTCAAAAGAAATTCAAATTCACATCAAAAGCTGCTGCTTTCTCAATATTGACTGAAAATTAAAAACTAATCCTCAAAGCAGGAAAAACGAAACTTGTGCTTGTAGGAGTGCCAATATCTTAAGGCCACTTACCTCTAGGTGCATTCCTTCTTTGATTAAAACATTCACTGTCTATGAAGCACATGGGAGTAAAAAACTAATGATAAAATCACTTGTTGGGAATGAATGTGTGAACAGATGCATTCTTCATTCATGTAAATGCTTCCAATTCATAAAGAGAAAGTCAAAAAAGGAACTAGAGGGAAAAGATTAGTTTGAGATGAGAAGGTCCATATGCTTGACAAAGGATGCATAAGTTAAATAAAATAAGAAACCATAAAAAATTGGAAAATGTCTGGACATGTCCATACTGGACTGGATTATAGAATCAAAATCTCCTTACTGCATGCTGCTGTTAAATGAGCATGGATATGGGGTGACATGCATAAAATCCATTTAACTTGAAACTGACTTGGTTTCATAATGAGCGTTTATGGGAGTAAGATTATCTCTGCTAACCAGATTCCCATAGATGACCATTGTGACATCAGATTAGTTTAAGTTAAACAGATCTGATACATGTCACCCATGATGTGCCTAGTATTGGCACACCAGAAAAAACTATGACTCCAGCTATGAAAGAATCAATCACCTCACAAATGTATTGGCAACAATACAGGTTTTCTTGCACAAAATGGCTCATGTTCCAGGGTCTATGGGAATAATTTCTCATAGGATTCATCATTTGAATTAATATTTTCTGAAAGGTCTGATCAGGTCTGACAATTTCTTAACTGGCACCCTTTTTATTGGGTGTAGCATTTAAGCACTAAATGGTGAAAATATCAATTTTAACATGCTTTTTTGTGCTTTTTTTGCATGCCAACTCTACCAAGTATAAAAGACCATCTTTCAAATCCAGCTGATTTGAATTCGCATCCAAAGCAAAATGATGTTTTTATTTTGAACAGATGGTTTTGCAATTTTGCAGGTTTCTTTGTAGAAAAAAAGGATATGAGACATTATACCAGGATAATCCCAGCTATCAACAGAGTAAGTGAGTAAATCATGACTCTGTACAAAAGCAGAGTACAGGGTGTCCCATACCACTTCAAACTACAATATTGATTGTGCAAAGCAGGTCAGTTTTTTTGCACTGATGAAAAGAACATCCTTTAGAATTTTTTTCACGATAATAACTTGGTATGAGAGTCAAACAGAAATTGCCTCAAATGCATATTAGAAAGGTATTATTAAGGATAATTCATAGTCAACCTTTTCTGATCCTCTTTATCAAAATGGCTAATTTTTATGTTTTCCTCTCCTAAATTCAGATAGGCTCAAGAAAAAGAAAAAAAAAAGATTTTCCAAAAAATTAGACTTTGCTGTCATGAGAAAAGGTTTCACAATTGATGCTGGAGCAATGAAGAAAAGTTTCCAGGATGGAGGTCTTTTGAGAGTCCCATCAGAGTTCAAAGGGAATTTAGGCTATTTTTTCATGCCAGGCCTCATGCCAAATGTATTGATGTAGGCATAGGGCATTTTGAGGCACTTTCAAGGCTCAGAATTGCCTTCATTTTGAGGAAGATAATTACAAATGACATGCTATCATTCAGTTAGTGTTAATTCTTTTTTGTGCCAACAGTTTAGTAGTTGTGATTTTTTTAAATAGTATAGTGACTTATGAGATAATCCTGTATATTGCAGAAGTTTTAAAAGGATGACTGAAGCAAATTTGTTACCTTTTCAATTACATTTTGGCCAACAGTTCATTAAAACATATTACCAACATTAAAATAGGTTGCTCTCTCTCTTAAAAACATGGTAAAACATACTGTCAGTATAAGAATGGGCCCTGGACCAAAGGTCTCTGTGCACATTACAGTCATAAAATCTCTTGGTCATGGTAAGTACAATCTGCCAAGCAGGTGGCAAGTAACTGCCACCTTGACAGTTTCTTTGGAAATACATGTTTTTCCAGGCTTTGACAACAAAAGTGATATATTTAATATTAAGGTTAAATTATTGCACATTTACCAAGAAAAATTAATTCACTTGTTTAAATCCACAATTACATATGCTATCAATATGGGATCTTCACCAATGGATTCAGTGTGGTCAATCTAATGAAGATTCATTAAAATTTTTCCATTTCAAATAATCAAAATTTTCCCTCACAGCTAAGTGCTACATCCAATAAATTACAGTGCTAACAAAGAAATTGTTCTTGACAAGACCTATCAGATATCACTTCTTTTTTTTTAGGGATTTTTTTTGGCACAAGGGCCTTTGACAAATATAAGGATTTATCATGTAGGTTTAGTTCTAATATTTCTGATAGTGTTTAATCTTCCATGTGAAATTAAGATATGGGGGGCTCAAGATGTTAGCTCACCTGAGGAAAGTACTTGATGATTGTGATGGCAAGCTTGACATAGGAGAAAATGTAGAGATAGGTGAGCCAGGTGATAGAGACAAGGAGTGTGAGGATGAGAGAAATAGCAACCACTATTCCTATCATCCCCATAAGTACCATTGCCACCACAGAAACTTTCTGGTCCCCCCTCTGGGATTACCAAAAATCACCTTAATTGCATGCTGGAAAGTGAACAAGAGAGTTTACAAAGAAGGAGAGGAGAAAGGACCTCATAAATGCAGCATTGGATTCCAGTGATGATGCATGCAAATGTGGCATGGAGAGAGAAGACAACATCATTCAGTTGCACCGGATTCACTCCTTTTGGATGAAGCCTATGATACTCCGCCTCCATAAACAGGCACACTTTGTCTTAAAACAAAACTTTCCATAATGTTGTTAATGATAATATTTTTTTTAGATGTGTGAAACATACCATGACAGAAGGTACCCAGTAGAGTCCAACATTGAAGAGGCCATAGGCAATAAAGCCAGTGATGTTGAGAATCACAAAATCAAAGTTCAGGCCCTCCACACTATAAAATATGGGAGCATAATATAGAGAAAAGATGGAATATATGCATGATTGAGGCAATCATGGCCAGCCTTTCAAGTTGGCATTTAAAAGTGGTACTCTGCGAGGTACTTCAGCAGATACTGTACCTGTGGTATTGAGACCATGGGGAAAATGAGAGATTGAAAGAGAAAAGGATGAAAAAAAGCCTTAAAAAAATCATGAATGGACCAAGATTATCTGAGATATTTGTGATGTCCCTCATAAAAATGTATCCTCATGCTTCAAAAAACTACAAGGTATATGAGCAAGTGTGTACCAGTTTCTTTTCACAAAATGCTACATACAAATCACAGGGTCCCATAAAATGTTAGCCACTTCTGAACAAAGAATGTTGTGGGTTAACAGAAACAAGTTAAAAACTTACAGGTTAAAAAAGATATCTTTTTTATCCTATCTTTTTTAACCTGTAAGTTTTTAGGGAGAGTTGGTGCACCTGTAGGGAATAATAATAAAAAGTCTATGGATTGATCATATTGGAGCTATGACTTATTGAGAGGCAAAAGATGAAGGTACAGTATTCATTAGTCATTCTTGGGTCACCAGGTCCACAAAACCAACCACATCGTCCATTGAATTTTACATTGCTATTTCAGTTTCACATATAGAATTAGTCTGTGGATTTCTGAACAAGATATCTTCAATGCACTATTCAAAATATCACAATTTCCTTCAAATTCCATCAAATTTCTTCTATCCTCCAAATATCACATTTCTGGAATATACAGAGAAAAATATAGGTCTATATACAGTAAGGGTCACTCAGAAAGTTTTGAAACATGTAAAAATAGGTGATCCTAGGAAGCCAGTACTTTAGAAGATGACTTGGCAGCTCTATCATGGCTCTGAACCCAAAATGAGAACAATTCCATTTATGATTTTCTACTGCTTCATGTTGGGCTTGGATGAGCTCACTTCCAAACTTCTTTTGTGGAGAGTACACTTTCCAGACCATAGTTGTAGAACAGTGGTGCACAACCTTTTACCCCTAGAGGGCCAAATTGAGAGTTTGGCTCATGTTTGAGGGCCACAAGCCCTCAAACCCCTCAAAGCAGTGTGCCCAACATTGCCCTCTGTTAGGCCTGTAAGGAACCAGCAGCAATAACAATTTCAGAGCCAAAACTTTGACCCATGGCAATTTTTTCACATTTAGGACTAGGGTCAAAAGATCAGTCAGTGGCACTAAGAGGGTTAAGTTCCATTGAATAAATCCCTAGATTTGGCAGGCCACCAGCAGCAGTAACTGACTCGAGGGAACTTTGATTGTGAGCAACTTATGATAGTTCAAGAACCTTTATTTATTTTCTCAGCATATTCAGCAGAAGTTGAACAGGATCAAGAAGTGTTGTTGAGATTCTCCATAGGCATCTTGGTGCAAAGAAGGTGGCAGCACATTGGGTGCCACACAGACTCAATGAAAACCAGTTGAAGGGTTGTCTACACTTGTGTCACAACATGCTAGATGGAATAAAAAGGAAGGTCCCAAGATGTCTATGACACATAACTAGTCATGGAGAATGGATCTACAAGTTTGATCCCTCCCCAAGTGCCACTCCACACTTAGGCTCTTCCCATGTACCTTGCATCTTCACATGGGAAGAGACATCTTACAAATGATCTTATAGATCAACTGATGAAGTACATCCTCTGGAAATTGTTTTTTCCATTTTCCAGTATCTAGGGGTGGAATAAATTTAATAATATAATAATAATAATTATTAAATAATAAATAAAACTCTCTTATCCCAAAAGTCAATAAGACCTCTACAGGGTGAGAATTTCAAGCCCTAAGGATCCCCTGACTTTGCTCATGTCTAGGACTTACACCCTAGAAAATATTAGAATCACTATTTTCACCAGTGGTTTCAGAGTATGCAGAGTTTGGTGAGAAGTTGGGAAACACTTTAAAATGTGAAAGTTTACCTGCTTTTGCTCATTTCCCATTCCATGTGTCTCAAAACATACTGAGTGACCCTTGTATGATGAGACAAGGATTTACCTCTTCCTCCTCCAGTTGGAGTAGATTTGTGGATAGAAGGAAATAGACCATGCGAAGAAGTATATCCATCCAACTAGGTCTGCAATCAGGTCCACAGTGTAGGAATGGAAAACATTCACATGGAATGCCCCATCCCAAGGCCTGCAAAAACCATCATGACTTATTTGTATTCTTAAGTTCAGCTATTTTAGCTTTTTTAATTTTGTCTGAGCGCTTCATTCATGAAGAGAATCAATGTGAAAGTACTTATAAAGAGACTTATTTAAAATTAAACCTTGATTATATTAGTATCTTTCTTCAGGATTCATTGTTTACATTAGAGCTGTACTGATGACAGTTTTTCAGCTGATGAACAGTTATGATCTCACATACATTGGCCAATGCTGGTGCCAATGCAAATAGAAGTGGGGAGAATGCCAAAAAATTGTCTATCATTCTTCATTATAAATTTAAAAAAATGTGATTTAAGATATTGAATCTCCAAACTGATATTTGTGAAACATAGGCCAGAAGCACCTTTCATTGAAAAAACCTCAAGTGTGGCAGAATGTCCAACACTATAATTTGATGCAGTTGCTACAGTAGAGAATGGCCAAATCATGTGCAGGTAAAATAACTTTTTTTTGCTGAAGGAATGCAAAATATTAATCTTGGCCCAAAAATGCAAATCCTTGAGCCTCTAGATCTAGATATTCTGAGAAAAGAGGGGAACTCCTGCAAGATATTGAATGCCTACATTCAATTCAAAATGGCTGCAGTGAGAGATTTCTGCATCAGCTTAAGCAATACATATTTAGTTTCCAGAAAAAGACCAGAACTGGTATGAGCCTGCATATTCTTGAACCATTGATATAATTACATCTACTTGTTCCTTCCTTTTTTTATGGAGAAGGGAGGGAGGCCTTGCCATCAGCATTGGCTTGATGAAAACCTGTCCATGGTGCCATATCAGCAGCCAATACCAGTGGTTGACAATGCATTGATATAGTCTATATTGATGTATTCATAAGGCACCAAGCAGTAGCTACAGAATTATTCTGCACATTCTAGCCATTCCAATAAATCAAACCACTTTTGATATTTTGATTTAATGAAGAATTCTGCTGAAGATTCAGCAACACTGAAATCCTAAGAGGAATAGTGACACAAAGTTTAGAAGTTCGCCAAATTCCAACTGACAATAAAAACACAATAAAACACAAGCCAATCAAAATATCAAATTAAACCAAGCTTTCTTTCCCTGCCGTTTTTGTTTCACAGAAAACATTTTTTCCCAAAAATGTCCACACTCTACTATAACAGATCACATACGATTTCACTCCTCATGCAAGTTCATGGTTGAGAATAATTTCATCCCCAAGCAAATTCAATATTCAGAGAAAGAATTTGAAAAAACACTCCCCTCACTTTCATGAGGGAAAAATTAATTCAGGTTTCCTTCCTGCTAGTGCCCACTTTCCTTACCCACCCACCCATTGCAGTACAAATTTTGATAGTGTGCCAGTGGTTAAATCTTTGAAAATAAAAAATTTTGCAAGCAAATGTAAAAAAAAAAGATATCTATATGTCAGTAATATAGTGTACAGTATAGTGAACTTGCTAAGTAAACAATCAGTAAACTATTGGGAATTGACCATAAGTATGTAAGTAAGTAAATGCGAAGTGCCTTTAGAAAATATAGAATAAAAATGCATGTTCCAACATATTGTCAGGCAATGAATATTTCTGTCTTTTTCTGTCTTAGTACTGCAATGGGTTAAAGTAGACAATTGAGAATGAAGCAGAGTTGACCTAATCTGACTTACACCATTCAATTTGAATTGTAATATCAATAAGTTGTGGGATTTTATTTTTTAAACCAGATTCACCACCTAAGAATGTGACTTGATTTAAGCCAGTTGCTAATGATACGAATTTGATGAGAGATTCCAACTTGAGGGTACAAAGAATCATATACTTTGGAATGTAGTATTTTCCTTCAGAGGTTGGACTGGTATACTGAATAATGCACAACAGAGCCAGCAATACTATTAGTAATGCACTGACCTATTACTATTATTACTGAACTATTATTACTGCACTTGCCAGGATCTCCTTATTTCACACATCTACTAGGTCTGCTTAAGTTCCAGAAGCTCAAAATCAACCTTGGCATCCTTGCTTGAGTTATCTTGTGTCTTCTAGTCACACACTCACACATTTACAGCAACACCGAGGAAAGTTTTTCAAATTCTTTAGAATTTTCCTAAGAATAGTGAAGATTGTTCACAAGTGTGGACAATCTTCTCTATTCTTAGACTTAAGCAAAAAACTCAGATTGACAGGGATGACATACGAGGTGCGGCAATAAAGTTCCAGGACTGATTTTTTTGTGAGTCTGTCAATATCGCAAAAATTATTTCCATTCCATGGACTAATAGATTAAACTGTTGGGCAGTCCTCATCTGACAAGCATCTTGAATGAGAGTTTGGCTGGCAATGTAGTAACTCAGTGTGTAAGGCGTCTGTCATATTCCCAGAGTGAAGCAATGCTGTATCACACTTTGTCTAAAACCGGTCAATACAGCTGCAGTAATCCATCAAATGCTGCATAAGTGTCTTGAAAAGTTCCTTGTTATGCTCCAATAATTTTGAATGAACTTCAAGGCCTTTAGCAAGTAGTGAAGACACTCAGATCCACCTCAACCCCAACCATCACCAACCATTCACCCAAGGGATGGCTGAATCAATCATTTTTTACTGGCTGAAAACCATGAAAACTATTCAAGATTCTTGAAGTATGACAATACAATTTGTCAAGACACTTCTTGCAACATTTGATGGATTGCTGCAGCTATATTGACCGGTTTGAGACAAAATGTGATACAGCATTGCTTCACTCTGGGAATATGACAGATGCCTTATACACTGAGTTACTACATTGTCGGCCAAACTCTCATTCAAGATGCAAGTCAGATGGGGACTGACACTACACTGCCTAACAGTTTAATCTATTAGTCCATGGAATGGAAATAATTTTTGCGATATTGACAGACTCACAAAAAAATCAGTCCTGGAACTTTATTGCCACACCTCGTATATTTAAAATACCCAAACCCCAAAGAGAAAATTTGGCTTCATGGCGAGAGGAGTTCTAAAAAAAAAAAAAGAAAAGACTATTCAATTTGAAAATTGAAGGATATTCCTTCTCAAAATTATTTTAATTCAATTTTGTTCAAAAATCTAAAAAATTATATTCAAGTTTGTGGACTAACTTCCAAAATATTGGGTCGATCGGAAAGCTCTGGCCGTTTCGAGAATCTTCCAGAAAAAAAAATTTCTGGAACTTTCTCGAACCTTCCACAGTAGCAGTATATAAAGGGTGTGTGGGCGTGATTGCGCAGCAGTTGCTTTGTCGTTCAAAGCCTATAACCATGACTTCCAAAACCGACTTTAACAAGACCGCCCAACGTCAGTGCCTTCTTTACGACTTCCTGTCTGGCATCACAGCAACTGAATCGAGTCGCCACATCTGCGCCGCGTTTGGCCAAGGTGCAGTTTATGAAATGACAGCGCGACGACGGTTCGATCGTTTCCGGTCTGGAAATTACAGCCTCGAGGATGAGCTCAGGTCAGGCCGCCCATCTGAAATCGACGACGAGCAGTTGCAGCACACAGTGGAAGCCGATCCGAGGCGAAGTACCCGCAACTTAGCGACTGCACTTGGCTGCGCCCAGTCCACAATCGTGACGCATCTGGCTGCAATCGGCAAGAAGAAAAAGTTGGGTCAGTGGGTACCCCACGATCTGACCGACCGCGACCGCGAACGCCGTGCTGAGGTGTGCACTTCGCTGCTGTCGTACGAGCGCACAATGACTGGCTAGATTCCGTAGTCATTGGGGACGAAAAGTGAATGCCGTACGTCAACTACCGACGCAGGCACCAGTGGGTCGATGCTGATCCCAGCCAGAGCCGGAGCCGAAAGGTGACCTGCACCCCCGAAAAGTCATGTTATGGATTTGGTGGGACGTGCAATGCGTGATCTACTTCGAGCTACTCCCACCCGATACCAGCATCACCGCCGCCTATTACTGCGATCAGCTGCAGAAGCTCCCCGACAAACTCCGCACGGTGAGGCCAGGGCACCGTTATGTTCGATTCCTGCACGACAACGCAAGGCTGCATGTCGCGAAGATCACACAGCAGAAATTGCTGTATCTGGACTGGGAGGTTCTGCCTCACCCTCCGTATTGCCAAGATCTGGCGCCAACCGACTACCATCTTTTCCGCGCTCTGGACAACCATATTCGCCAGAAAAGGTTAAACGATGACGCTGATTTCGAAAACTGGCTGACTGATTTTTTCTATTCACAGCCAGCTTAGTTCTACAGGGATGGAATCAGGAGTCTGCCTGATCGTTGGCAGAAGGTGATTGACTGTGATGGTGATCACTTCGTAGAATGAACTTTTTTGCTTTTTTAAAAAACTCGGTGTATGAAATGATCTCGAAACGGCCAGAACTTTCCGATCGACCCAATATTTTCTATATCCATCAGGACTTTTTTCTCATCGGTAGTTTATGAAAAGGCACATTTCCTGAAAAACTCTTTTTTTTTCCATAAAAATTGGCGAAATATGTATAAATATGCACATATATGCAGAAATATGGTGAAGCTGAGAAAAACGGGAAAATATGCATTTTTATGCGTTTTTAAAATCGCATAAGTGGCTTCCTCCACCAATGAGACATGATCCTATCTGGAGTGCACCTTCATAGGAGGCTGCAGAAAAAATATCATTTGCATAAAAACCCGCTCCATAGTCATCACCGACCAGAGTATCTGGAGAACCGGTTGTAATATCATAGATCGAAATTTTGGATTTCATTGTATGCGAATACAATGATTGAATTCAATACATTTTGAATTCAACATGCAAAGTGATTGAATTTTCTTACGCCAATCCCTGTTGAACTCGTATCCACCATTCCACTTGAGCCTCATCCCGAATCACCGTGTTCAAGCATGATCTTTCATAATTTCAAGTTTTACCAGGAAGTGCCTTGGTTAATTCCCCCTTTCGGTGCTAACCCATTATAGGTAGTTGCTAATAATGTCAGGCCTTTTTTTCTTAACTAGCAATGCTTCAGAAAAAGGGAAAACTCTGAAGTATACAGCATGAAGATGTAATTCTTGTTTATTTTACTCCAAAATATTCTGAGCATTTTGAGTTATAGATTATGTATAAAAAAAAGCAAATGTGATCTTGGTTTCTTTTGTTTGCCGCACATTCCTGGAGTATAATCGTGGAAGTAAAGTATTGAATCCTAGGAAAGCATTCAACGTAGCGTGAGAAAATATTACTGAGCTTTCGCGAACATAACAAGCATTATCTTAGAATTCCCAAAGAGGCACGGTATAAAGTAGACAGTAGTATAAAAAAGGTCAGATCGACGGGTGGAGCAATGGTGGAGCAACAGTGGAGCAGCAATTTCCTATTTATTAAATCATCTCAATTTCCATCTCAATATGAATTAACCTCAGGTTATCATCGATTTACACGAATACTCAGTGAATATAGATTAATGCTGAATTATCGAGTGCGGGATGATTTGCATTATCCATGTACCTTAATGAAGAGATTTTTCGATTTGAAAAATATTATGGCTGAATCTCGCGGCATAAATTCCCCGTTTCAATTGACTACAATCTCCCGTCATTACCGCTTCACATCAAGGTAAGCGATAGGGTCGAATGGAAGGATTGATTACGCCAAAGTGTTTGGACACATTTTCTCCTATGAGTAATGATTGTGGTGGCTTCGTCCGTCACGCTCCTCTTCTTTTATAGCCCCGGCCCCTGACTGCCAAGGACGTGATGGGGAGGGGAGTTGGGGAGAGTGCCCAGGATGTATTTATAGTTCTTTGCTGCAGTGTTTCCATTTCTGTGACACTATATAACTCGTACTATTTACATCCGAGGCTCCTGACAGACATTAACAGAGTCAGGAGGGGGGCAGCGTGACTTTTGTGAAAGAAACTATACAAGACCCACTGACAGGATCGCCTTTCATGAACGGTCCCAGATATGTGGAGGAGGGGGAGCAGCCAAATAAGGCTAGAAAATAAGCGTTGATGGAAGAGGAAACTTTATTACAATTCACTCATCGCCAATCTCTACCTCAATAGACACGATATACGAGGAACAACGGAAAGTATTGAAAGATATTGATAACGATGATTGCGATGCGAAGGGAAGTAATCCAAACGTGAATTGGTGAGAGAGGAAGAACTTCTAAAGGGATATGAAGACATGTAGTCGGAACAGGAGTAGGAGTCTGGGGAAAATGGTTCTCTTCAGCCTCCATCGTTTCTGTGAAGAGAATGAGAAGAATATACAGCGAGGAACATATCAAAATATTGTTTCAGTGATTTAGTTAACTAGTATGGATGGAAAGAAGACGTGTGCCTCCGATGAAAAATGTATCATGGGATTTTTAAAAAGTGTATGAGGTATGGAATGGTATTACCAGACAACATTATATTTGGCTCGGACTTCCTCCGTCTTGAGACATTTTTCGATGTCCGCGTCGTCTGCATGCCATCTCACGGACGAATATAGGCTCCCAAGTTTCTCTTCAATGGTCTTCTTCCGGAGTCGATTATCTCCTTCGAGTCTGAGTACGATAGTATGTGGAGAAGTCACCTCCAATTTCACATGCGCCAGTACTGATAACAGCACCATCGCATCATCTATCTCCTCTGCAGGGTGCACCCTGATGACGTACATGATCCTAGTAACGAGAAGAAATACGAAATAATGATCCTAGGTCGGAAAAACCTCTCACAGGAGAACGCTTGAACGCTTGAACGCTCGCCCCTCCATGCTACCCCGGCGCAGTAGACGGGCGACCAGTCTCTGTCGTCGGTGTATTCCACGCACCCCTTCTAATAGGGAGTACTAGGATCAATGCTGCTCTCTGGGTCATCCCTAGTATGAAATACGAAGGAATCTTGGGATTGGACAGCTTGCACCTCCTGGACGCTGTCATCACCATCCCAGATCGGTCCCCTCAAATGACGGCAGATATAGTGGAATTAGAGTTGGAATTTTCGGACGCTTGGGAGGTGCCTGCGGCCGGAAACCTCACCATCCAACCGAGAGAGGAGCGGCTGATCACCCTGCCTTTCCCTCGGGAGATTAAGGGAAACCTGTTGGTGGAAACCCACCCCAATCTCCTAATAAGGTCCCCTCTACGAATAGCGAGGGCCCGGGTACACACACAGCACAAGTCGGTCTGGTTACCAAGACATCACAGTAAAGTAACCATGCATGCTGTTTTTTTTCTTTCCAATTAGGTAATATTACCGTCTTCTGAAGTGCTGCATGGTAGAGTCACCATTCAGGAATGGTATGACGCCGAGGTCGAAAACCGGCTGACTGATTTTTTCGACTCACAGCCAGCTCAGTTCTACAGGGATGGAATCAGGAGTCTGCCTGATCGTTGGCAGAATGTGATTGATTGACTGTGATGGCGATTACTTCGTTGAATGAACTTTTTTGCTTTTTAAAAAAATTCGGTTGTATGAATGTTCTCGAAACGGCCAGAACTCTCCGATCGACCCAATATTATTTTCTGACTCATGATATGCCACAAAATCACCTGGAAATTATTTGGTTCTGGATTCATCATTTCAAAACAATGTTGATTCAAACATAACTGGAATCTTACTAAAATCTGATTCAAGTGTCTATGGAAAGGAGAACCAGAGAAAATTTAGAAACAAGAATAACAAAAAACTTCCCTGCTTTTGCTGCTGGTGATTGCTACACAGAATGAAGGGAAGTGGTGAACCAATTCTTTTTTTTTACTCCTTCCAACAACTATAAAATCTCATCTGGCAGAGCCCACACAAGACTAAATACCCTTGAGAAAATGGATGGAGTTTTTACTTTAAACACCCTAAACATCTGCAGATGCTTACTGGATATATACCTGACAGAATCAATGATATTTTTTTTTTATATTTAAGCTTTTCTCTACCTCAATACAGGAAAGGCAGCTAGACAGTGAACACTATAGATGGGAACATAATGGACAACAATACTGATATATGATACAGTCCTTGTGCAATGGCTGAATGCAAAATAAACCATGAAAAAACTGCTTCATTCCCTCTCACAAATATACTTATTCATGCTTCACAACAAGAAAGCATTTCCTTTTTGTTGGGCTGATAGCATAAGTTCTAATGCAATACATATCCTAATTTGTCCACACTACACATCCCAAAATATCATACACTACCTGCATTCATTTGATCATTCCTGCATTTACTTACATTTACTCAAGACTTACGTAGTAGCAGATTCTTCATTCATGTTATCACTTGGTCAGCAGAAAAATGCCTTCTGAACTCGAGCATACAATGTAATGTAATAAGTATCTCATCTCCCTCCTTCTTTATGGCCATAGTAGCACGATTTTATGGCTTTTATCTCGCAAAGCTCCGGAAGATACTGAATCTCATCAAACACTGTTGCCAAGATATGTGGCATATAATGGGGGGAGGGTCTGAGCAAAGTATGTACATATATAGTAGGCGGCATACTATAAGCCTATATATCATGTTGAAGAACTATCCAATGTCAGACTTTATCATGGATAAATATTAAAGAGGATTTCTTGCCATTTGTTATGAGGTTTTACTGTGTTAAAGGAATATTGAATGCAGAAGAAAGATCCATCTTACCTTGGTAAGGGACTGGTGGCATTGAGTGCACCATCAATGTGTCCAATCTTTAGCACTTGGATTTCAACCTCCTGAACATGTTCTCCTTGAGGGATGGTGAAATGATTTGGTGAAAACTTCACTGCTGAAGGATCACTCACTTCAAACCAGAATGTCACTGTTCCTCTTGTCCTAAAATGAAAAAAGATTGCTATATTCCATCTGCTCTCATTTACATAAAACTTCTTTTGTTATAATGAAAAACTCACACCAGAGTGACTTGGAGTGTCTTAGTTTTCTGCTCCTCCACCCCCAGGATGGATTCCCTCAGTGTCACCGACTTGACAGCTCTGCTTGTTGGATCCAATATTGCACCTAGTCACAATGTCAATATTATTGGATACAGATTCCCCCAGAATGAATAACCCATTAGATTCACCTAGGGCGTTTTAAAAAGCTATGCTGCTTTTTGTGTGGGAGTGTTCTGTCTCTAAATAATTTCTTCTCAACTCTGATGTTGGCAGTAGACCGTTTGGTCTTTCAATGAACTGCACAAGAAAAACCTCCAAATTCATGCATAATAGGACCATCTCATGGTCCAAGCATTAACCCTCTTAGTGCCATGCTTTTTGGCATGAGATGTTTTAAAAGTCCCATGTGCCTTGTTGCTGAAAATGTACCATTTTACTAAATATGCTCCACATTGCCCTCTGTCAGGAACCAGCTACAAGAAAATTTCATGGCTGAAATATTGGCCCATGGCAATTTTTTCACTACCAGAGCAGGGGCCAAAATATCAACCAGTGGCAATAAGAGGGTTGAGCATCTCCATTTAATTATGTTGTAACAAGCATATTTATGGAAATGAACTCGTCATGCTAAAAATATGGTGTCTATTCACAAATATTACTTGCTTACCTAAATAAAATAATAAAATAAAAAAGTCAAAGTAATTAGTAGGTTGGATCCTATGAGGTCGTTACAGTGGGGTGAGAAAAAATTGACATATGAACTGTGTACTGCATCTGTCTGAGGTGAGCGCTTCCACTTTGTGTGTCTTCATGTGCAATTCCTGTTTAAAGTTTGCTGAATAAATTCTTGAAGAGATTCGCTGGTTTGAGACCATATGAGTTACCAGAGGATGACACTAGTAAGCTTCTTTGGTTTGTGTCAAACCTGGTACGGGAAGTAAGGAAATATTTACTCTACCTGCTTAAAAAAATAAAAAAAAGGATGGGCAAGCCCAGTCCAGTAGAGGGCCTCCTTTCATTTAAGGCAGAGGTCGGGAACCTATGGCTTGTGAGCCAAATTTGGCTCAAAGCTAAAAAGTTTTGCTCATTGAGCCATGGCTAAAAATTATGGTTATTTATCATTTTTATATTGTATCAAAGAAAGCACATGTCTGTTGGTAACTTCATGAAAAATTTGGTTGTTCTGAAAATCTTCACTCACAAGCACTTACCTCAATCTTAAGATGGCTCACATGGCCGACAAGGTTCCCAACCCCTGATTTAAGGAGCCCTGCATTTTGTCACCTAATAAAAGAAAATGCCATCTCTTTCCGGTCCTTGGCCACCAAAATCATCATTTCTCAGTTATGTTTGAAAATCTACCCATGGTGCCCATGAAATGATGGGAGGATGGAGGGTTGTGCGTACTTGAAACCATTCACCATGAAGGTTGGTAGGAAATTGACAGCTTTAGTTACTGACAAGGCACCACACCCAAGGCCTGAGTGTGCATTGTGGCTCAGATCCAGAAGGGATCACAGGTATTCATGCCTTCCCCTTCATGACCAAATTTTAAATCCAAAATTTGCAATAAAAATGCCTATTTTGGTGCAAATTAACCACAAAACAAACTCAGCCTGTATCTTGCTAATATCTACCTGCTTGCCAATTTTCGTATTGGTCAGGCCAATATTTTCTTAGTTATATTTGGACATCCAAAGTGTGACACGCGGATGGACAGGACAGGACCATGAGTGGTATTTTTCCTTTCAGGAAAGGAGGTCCACCTAAATAAGACTCAAACACTGATATAGTCCAATTCATCTGCATGTTCCAAAGTTCTGACATTTACCTTGACCTAGCAGGGAGAAAGGAATGTCATGACATGAATGCCCTATTTCTAGTGGGATTCCTAAAAGATCATCAGATCTAATTCAAAGGGTAATATCTCTCATATCAATCACAGAAGGAATTTGAAATTTTCAGAACTATTTGAGCACACATACAGGGTGATCCAAAAGTCATGCACACCAAACAAGTACACAAAACAAAATATCCATGAAATACTACTACTCTGGATAGTCACAGAATGTGCTGGAAACGCCCACCATGTTCTTGATAACATGCGTTGTAATGGTTTAATGGTTTCTGTAAACGGGAAAAGGTATGTCTACATAGTTGGTGTGTGTGACTTTTGGATCACCCTGTAGCTGAGTATTTAAGGGATCTTTCAGTACTCTGTAACAATGCAGATCTGAGTAAACTGAGCTTCAAAAATTTTCAATTTTCCACGACAGTGCCCTCTACCTTAGGTCTGCAAAGAAACCTGAACATTGACTGTTTCTGGAGAGGCTTATGGTTGACTACTCCTGTATGAAACTGATTATTCTTCCAGAATGCAGACAGGAGATAAAGGCCAGCTGCGTTAATACACAAAAGTGTTAATACACTTAGAGCCCTGCAGCCGTCATATGACGTCCTACGCCCATAGCGCATTCAAATTATCAGGCCTCAAAGTGTTAAAATTTTTGGCGTTTTTGAAAATTTTTTCTTAGCGATACCAATAAAATCGACCTTTTTTTTTCTTTTACAAACTTGATTTATCCGTCTCAGTCTATCACTTATTAGGTGAGTTAGTATTTCTGTAACTTCAACTTCTCCCCGGGGAGAGAGAGGGGGAGGTGGCGGATGCATTTAGACCTGAGTTGGGGGAGCTTCAGCTCCCTCCCTCGCTTTGCCACTGCCCGTGATAAACTCCAGGTCGAGCTGCTACGTATTCGGATCCAAAGATCCCAAGCCCGTTGGTTCGGACACATCGGCATGCCTCACTAGAGACTTCCAAAAGGAGGCTTCCAATCTAAAATGACAGAAGACCAGTCGGTAGGCACAAGGCAGACGAATACGAATCTTGGTCACTCGAGGCTCAGTACAGTATACCATCTGCCGAGCTCAAGTCTGTTGTCCAGGACAGCGAACACTGGAAGATACTCTATGACCTGTTCGAGCTGCGACCCTATTAAGTAATTATGAGCGGCTTTCAAATAGCATGCATTAAAATGCTGAAGATTCCTAATTAGCCTAAGATTCATGATAGAACATGAAAAGTTTGGCCATATTAACTGAATAATTACTAGAGCTGCCACTATGGCAGTTTTCAAAACATCGATGCATCCGACGAAAAGAAACTCCGAATAAAGGGGATGCGCCCGGTGCTCCGCCTCAATAAACAATATGCGCCTACTTCCTCCTCAGGAATCGCGGAGATGAATTTATCAATTCTGTTGTCATCACTGAAAAGAAAGAGTTCGTTTAAATTCTCGAGGGGCAAAGAACACTGCAGCTTCCCAACGATATTTCCCATCCAGAAGGCGGCATTCGCTGGGCATAGACGTAACAGGAATGTCCATGTATTTCATAGCCATTCTCGCGAGTTTCGGGTATCTTATTCTGCTCTCTTAGAATTCCAATTGGTTGAATTCTTGAACACATTTTGGGTGACGCAAGAGGGAAAATTTACACTACCGATTTATGCCGCAGAGCATATCGGAATTCATATGCTTACGATTAAATAGAGAAGTAATTTCTGAAGAAAATCTTTCTAAATCCTTGCCGAGGAAGGAAGGAGGCTCATTAATGTAAGAGGTTCTCCTTTTCTAGCGCAAGGGGATAGAATCAAGTTGCTTTCGTATATATTCTAGAAATCTTCAGGTATAACGCTGAAAAACCCGACGATTGGATAGGGTAACTTGGGGGGAATATGGCCATTGGGGTAATATGGCCCCTCGCAATGAATCCCTTAACAGAATGAATAATTAGTTTGGGCGAATTTTGAAAATAGTTCTATCGAAGAATGCATGCAATTGTCGAAATGTTTAGACCTGTTCATTGATCCAGTTCTCACTGGAATTCGGGATAAATAGATTTATTCTAGTCATATGCATGCGATTCTTCAACTCAGGGCCCTAATATGGGCCTTGTGCCACTTAGGCGTATATTTCCTAATATGAATATTTCCCAACATGGATACAAAAACAATTTGTTCAAAGTTGTACTATGGTTCCTCCTGAATGCTTGTGGAAAGTGCTGGCCCCTTCACTTGCGGTACACATACAGTGTTGTCAATTTTGTCATGCAAGCGAATATGGGGGAATATGGCCACCCCGATTTGGGGTAATATGGACACATCCTTGATTCCATGGTAGCACCGCACTGACCTATTGGTAGCGTCAGCTTCCTTTCACGTGGGACCTCAGGCAGCAAAAGATCATTCCTTGCATTTCCTCTGGATATATGGATAGACGTGCTGGACATCTGGACGGAATATGCAGTTCATGAGGAGGCGGTGCAGGAGGATATGCACATGCACCGCCTCTTAGACATCCACTTGACATACACCAGACAATTTTGTGGCACGATATTTGAATGCAAGTATATATCGTATAGGTATATATCGTGTACCCTCGTACAATAAGTTAAAAGGGTATTCTGCAATTTTTAGCCACTATTTACGCATGCGTGCAAAAACTTCGCAACGTTTTTCCTGAAATGTAAGACCTCTTATTTCACACTCTTAATGCATGTTCACTCTGATCTGTTTGATCCCTCTTCTTACACCCACACTTCGTAGATATAGTCTCCCAATCACGTGCATTGCTACTTAAAGCCTAAAGCGTTGCAATCCTGCTTTTCGCAGCAGGTCCTCGAGTCAGGTAATGATGTCGACTTCTTTCCTTCTTCTCAATGCAGTCAGAGTTTCTTTTTCAACTCCTGAGCGTCCTTTATTATGTTTCAAGGTACTCAGCAAGTTCCAGCATATTTCACACATTCCTGGAAAACCTGGAGTTGCTTTTTCAGAAGTGGTCATATTCCCCCAACTATATGGGTAATATGGCCTCTTGAGACCAACTTGGAAAGGATCCAAAGGCGGTTTTTTGCATGTGCTTTGCTGGGATTTAGTAAAGGAGGAAGGTAAATTCAAATTCGACCTTGACGGGCCGTTACGACCAGGTTTCATTTTGTGGGGCCATATTCCTCCAAGTTACCCTAGTGTTTGCTTCTCCCAACTTTGTGTTTATCTTGTTCACATCTTCTACAACAGCTTAGCTATTTTTTTAAGATTCATGGATTTGCCGACAAACTCGTTCCACTTCTTCCAATGGACAATTTAAAATCTCATTTGCTTTCGTGGAAATATTTTTTGAGCAAGTATCAACAGAGCTTGCAACGAAACAGAATTTCACACAGAGGATCATGACAAAATTTCCGATTAGAAATAGGAAAGGGATCTTTGTAGTTTACCAATTGATGTTTACACTGTACTGTACAGTGCAGTGTACAGGATGCAGAGAGAACCTTCTCGATAACATCACCAAATTCACAGGTTGTTCTTCAACTGTTGGGCTATTTAAAATTTGTCATGAGAAGCTGGCCTTAATTAGAAGCAAGGGTAAACAAAAGAAAAGTTATGCTGCGCGTGAGTTTAGTCGGCAGCAAACACCTAGGCTGAGTAAATACGAAATAAATGCAAGTGAAAGAGACTACATCGTAAAGCAAAACTGGACTGTCGGAGCAAAACAGTAAATTCAATTTCAAGAAGAAAAAGATAGAGGGAAAATGAAGCCCACAAGGAATAAGATGATACTTAGGAGCAGCACGGTCCTGCTCATACTCATGATGCAGTTAGCTTTATCAGAATCTCTCAGAGAGAGGGCATTCCATGCCAAATCAACTGGAAAAAAGTACTGGTTACAGGAAATACTGATTTCCAGTTTTCAGACTGATTTCAGATCATCACCCAAGTGGCAAGTTTTCTCCCGATTACCTTAAAGACAGTAAATTGGTGTCACTTCAAGGCTCTCTTTTGAAATGATTTGTGTTTTAAGGAGTTTGAAACAAATCTCATGACCTTGAAATCTTGGAGGGGGGGGGGAAGTATCTTTTTTATTAATGGCATATGACGTTCTCAGTTCTTCCTCTATCGATGCACCAAATTTAAATTTTGAACTGTCAAGGAATAAGATAAGAACAATAACGTGGCAGTAGGTGACCAAGAATCCCTTTTCCTGGAAAAATCTGAGAGTGGAAAATGGAAAATTTTGAGGATAAATCTTTCACTCTTGATAGAAATATCATCAGTATTCCAAAAAGAGCGAGAAGTGACCGTCAGACAGAATCCTCTCAAATCGATTCGGCAAGGTCAACAAAATTCTCTCTACGAAGGATTCAATGGGTAAAAGCAGTCACTTGAGCGATGACCACCTGACCAGAAATCGGGAAGTACTTGGCCTTGGGATCTGGAATTTGATGAGAATTTCAATAGACCCAACAAATTTCATCAAACGCAGACGAGGTCAGACTGCTTATAGGGGAGTGTTTTCATTCGGTACAAACCGAAAAGCCTTGGGACAAAATATGGATGCTGTGATGCACTGTCCCCCGTAACATAACTCCTTGAACACACATGACGCTCACTGGTTGCTCACGGCGAGTGCTCACTGGAGGAGGGGGGGGGGGGGAAGTAGCATAAGAGGAAGTAAAGTCAGAGGTAATCGTAATAGCAATAGGTAGAGAACATTAGTAGAAACAAAATATTATTTAATACAAAATTCTGGCGTATGACTGCAGGAATATGCCCAATACCTGGTGTATTCAAGGGGTTAAGTTACTCTCAGCGGAGATATGCACCCAAAAGACCCGTCTACCACAGGCTATATTCCACCACGAACAGAAAATGTGAAAAACAGAGAATGACATTTCCTCACCAGAAGCAGATATAACGAAGATGAAGCTCTTGACAAGCATGATGAGTATCACCATTGTGGAAGACTAAGGCCTGCTGATGACCATCCCACTACTCCCTCATTGGATAATATTGACAGAACTACTGGTATCTGCCATGAACTGAATCATGCAAAAATAACGTGGAGACAAGCATCCCAAAATCATGATCATCGAGACCATAGGTTTTAGGGAGCCTTAAATGACTTAGCTAGTCTTTACTGCTCGTATGGAAAACACCTGATCTGCTTTAAGAGAGATTGGTCAAATAAATCTTGACCTCAACAATTCCAAATAGGGTTAAATCTTGTAAGTTCAGACACCATAATGTAAATTATGATTGCACTAAGCATTCGTGAAGACACCCTCAGAAACAGCTCTTCCTAGTGGCAAATAACTGTTTCCAAGGGTAACCTCATGATGTTTAGTTTAATTAAAGGAGGTATGACATGGAATAAGAACTTAAATGCATATATCCCTGTGGATATAGAATTTACTGCCAAAAGTAAAGTTAAACTCATGCACATAATTGACAGTCTAACATTGACATGGGCTTCAGTAGTCATGAGACTGCCTCAAAGCAGGTATATGCAAATACTGTAGGGTGGCCCCAAAAACAGGCACAATGCGCATGTTAGGTGTGATGCTTTTAAGGAAAATTTTGCCAATTAAATGTAATGGAAATAAAAAAAGACTAAGCTACAAACTGCCTTTTTCAGACTTCAAGTATCTTAAACGGTGACTTAGAAAAAAATATTGAATTTTGGTTGCGAAAAATTGGCGCTGCGCTCACCGACCCTACCTAACATCCCCTTGACAGTCCGACACTCGCGAGAAGGGGAAGGGAAACCCTGACCTCAGCAGACGTCATGAGGATGATTGGATGTGTCTGCCGCTGTAGGCGGTCGTTGAGCGCAACGCCGATTTTTCGTCTGAATTTCAATTTTTTTTTTCATAAGTCACCGTTTAAGATATTTCAAGTTTGAAAAACGCTTTTTGTGGTTAAGTCTTTCTTTTCTTTTCATTACATGTAACCGGCAAAAATTTCCTTAAAAGCATCACAGCGCATTGAAAAGTGCGCCCTTTTTTGGGCCACCCTGTATATAGATTGTTGAGCATAAGTTGATGGGGTGACTGCTGCATGACAGGACCTCCGTGCATTCTAACAGAACCAAATAAAGGATGCCAATTGATGGAAATGTCCAGCTAAGCAACTGTACTGCTTCTGGCCCTGAACAATGCAGTATGATATGTACAATAATGTCAGTAAGACAGATTTGCAAATACATTTGCAATGTTTTCCACTGATCTAGCACTCATGCATCAGAGTTAGGTGAAAAAATGTGACAAACGTGAAAGTTCTGTCTTCTATGAAAAAGGGGGTCCAACAACATATTAAGACATGAAGTAATGTCCATGTTTGGGAGTGGCCTTTGACTTTTGGCAAGATAGCGTTATAAACTAGGGAACGGATTTTTATGCCAATGCATATTTTTTCTGCAGCCTCCTATGAACATGCATCCCAGATAGGATCATGTCTCATTGGTAGAGGAAGCCATTTATGCCATTAAAAAAACGCATAAAAATGGGTATTTTCACGTTTTTCTCAGCATGTGCATATTTATCATATTTTGCCCATTTTTATGGAAAAAATAGGGGTTTTTCAGGAAAATGTGCTTTCTTTATGAACTACCGATGAAAAATTTCATAGAGTTCTGAAGTCCGACCAGGAGTGTAGCGAGGGGGGGGGGGGGGGGGGGGGGGGGGGGGGAAGCCCCCTAACTCTGCTCAAAATTCATCCGTCACATAGAGTTCTGAAGTCCGACCAGGAGTGTAGCGAGGGGGGGGGGGGGGTGAGGTGGTGAAGCCCCCTAACTCTGCTCAAAATTCATCCGTCACCTCCACCCCTCCCCAGAAGTTTAGGAAATTCTAGTCCCCGTTCGTTTCCCTTAACCCTCCATTAGCGAATTCCTGGCTTTGCCGCTGGCTGGGACAAGAATAGACCAACTATACCCAGTAGAGGCATGCAATGTACATTAAAGTTTCTTCTTCCGAAAAACTCGTACTGCATTTAGGAAAACATTTTTGCATATCTCATGCATCTTTTGGCATTTTAAGTGCATATGTATGTGCATATTTTAGGACTTAGCGCATAAAAATCCGCTTCCTAGTTATGTGAACAAGTAACTTCCATTTTCTTTCTCCTGCCATCACCCATTGTTGCCTGAATCAATGCCTTGATGCACATCACATGTGTGTCAAATATGGCTTGGAGTTATTGGTAATTCAGTTTTTAAATTAAAAAATTAGTGAAATTCAAAATTTTTATGCTATCAAAATTATGGATGATATGGGCTTTAAAGGGATCAATATCATCTACTATGTATTGATCAATACTGCCAATTTCTTTAAGTTGGAATCAGAAACACAATAGAAACATCTCAGGGCGCAGATTAAAATCACACATAGCTATTTACTCCACATGCAGAGGAAGGATATTGGTGCCTAAAGAAAGCACCATATTGCAAATTATGAGTATGCAAATTTTAACAAATAAAAAAAAAGTCACAAAATATTATATATCATTGTAAAGGTCTTGAGTTCACCTTTCTCATGATACTGTCCTTGATGCCATAAATCCTCAACCATATTGAAAAATGCTCAACTAAAGATTTAAAAAAAAAGAGAAAATTCCAATTTTGGGGAAAATTTTTCTTTGAAGCAGAAAAAAAGTCTAAATAAGTACAGTAACTGGCTTTATTAATGCACCTAGAAGAGGAATGCAACTTACTGTATAAAGTGATTTGTCTTTTTCCTTGCCACAAAGGGATATTTGAGGGTGAAAATTGCATACATTTCACATTTCCACTCAATTCTAATGTTGAAACCTCATTCAAACTCAAAGGATGTACAGAGCAAATTGCTCAGCTATAAGAACACTCTGGTTCAAGGTATTGCACATCTTGATAAGATGAATGGTTCTCAAGATGGTAATTTAGCTGCCCTTGGGGTTTTTCTGTTTTCCCCTGAAGTTTAGGGGTCCATATCTCACTAACCAATCCAATGTAGGCTATTCTTTTACCATGGGCTTGTCAGATGGACTGCATCTGCTGAAAATTTTTACTGCAAAATCAAAGATGGTCAAGCACCATTTTATATAAATGCTAGTTGAGTTATTAGGGAATGACCCTGGCATTATGTGGTAGTTGTGTTGCTCTGCAGAATTTTTAATCATATGAAGAAAAATTGACTTCTTATGGAAATGTAAATTCTCAGAGCAACTTGAGGCATATTGGACTCTGAAGGAAGAATAGCTCTTAAAATTCCAGAGAAGTTTTAGCTGCAGTTTCTATTAAATCTAGCTGAAAGACAATCTGATTATAAGAGTAGATTGTAGATACAGAATTTTCTGATCATATTGTCACTTGCTAAGAATCATACTGCAGCCCAAAAAAAGCCTTGCAGAGTTCAAGTTCCCCCATCTGCTCCATTAAGACTTGCTAAAGGTCTGAAGTTCTAGGAATAGCCCTGATTCTCAGATACACAGAAAGTTTGAAGAACTTTACATAATATAGCTCTCACAAGGAAATCACTATGGCCATTGGTAGAACAATTTCATCTTATGCCACGTCAACCCCTCTAAGTAGGCTTGCACTGAGACAACACTGCCTTGCATTAGTGTCCAAAAAAATAATCCTTTACTGTTTGCTGACAGGACCATATTAGCTGCTTGCAATAAAGAGCTAGAAGAAGCTCATCTCCCTACTTGTTAAAAAGCCTTTTCCTAACATCAAGTCAATCCTTCCCCACAAGGAATGTTTTCTTTGTACTACAGTAATTACATATCCATGCACTTGGCTAAAAGGCAAATATATTTATATTTGTATATGAAAAGAATATCCTTTCGGGATAACTTATTCAGGACAATATATTTATATTTGTATATATTTTTAACATTTCCAATGCTTTGAGCCAGGATGACTAGCTATGTCAGCCATCTGTGTCAACAGGTTTTGACATCACATTGGCTCAGCTTTGATTTTGATCTCTCTCTCAACATGATTGCATTGACTCAAGGACAATGTTTAGCTTTGCATACATGATTGACCTAGGTGGGCAAGAATTAGTGGAAACACTTTCAGCAGCTTAGGGCTATCTGAAAGGTCTATACCCAGTCCACTTCAATGCAGAATCTCATCAGCTGAAAACAGGCCTTTTTAGGTTTTCTGTAATACATATTGACCCACATAGGCACTTCTATTTTAAGGGTACACTATAGGTCTCTTCTTTCCAATGAAAACACAATGCTGCAATTGTATTATTGACTGAGAATGTTGAATTGATGCTGAAATCAAGCAAAAACTAAAACACATGAGCAGGATGCAAGAAGAAATTCAATTCATGAAAGTGGGCTTCTGCAAATATTTGTGATGTGACAATAGAGCTTTCAATAGGAAAGTGATCACATGGACATCACACCAAGATATACCATTGGCAGCTAGGAATTGAAAAAAGTAAAAGACAAAATCTGCAACCTCCATAAAAATGCAATCACTGAACTTAGATTTTCTCATTCCCTTCAGAAAAACTCACCTGATGAGATAAGAAGTAGTCATGTGACCATTCTCAGCCTTTCTATTGGGCTGTAGGTTTTTACATAAGGATTCATCAATAGATGCTCAAACAAGGCCTTAATCCTCAAGTAACATATCACACTATTACCAGAATGAGTAACTTGCAGATAGCAGGTTTTGACTTTTACATACCGGTTTTGAAATGTGCATGACTAAACCTTCACTATATGACAAGTATCCATCAAGTGACAAAACTTTGAAAATGAAATAAATCAATAAGACAGACCCTAATTTCCAAGCATAGGATGACATTAACAAAATCAAGCAGGTACCTATATCTAACAATAAGGAGCACTGCTATGGAAATCTGAGCAAGGATATAACAAATCAAGAAAAAGAAGTGGATCATAGTAGAAAATATAATTGCGTTGAAGCAAACCAGTGCATTCTTGCCAAGTCTTGCACACCCAGAAAATGTGGAAAGCAAAGTGGAAAGGCAACAGTGTATCACCAGACCAGGCAAGGCCATTACTCGTGTCTGTGTTTCTGGATCATTTCCTTCAGCTTTGACTCATTGGCTCCCGAGAAGGAATCAACCTAAATATCAAAATGGATAATCATCAAATTATGGAGATTATGGCTCCATAAGTCACTCAATTATCCAGATTAAGCATGATCAGTTCACCTTCTGATTCTTTTTGATGAGCACAAAAGTTGGCATGCAGGAGATGTTATACTCTGCAGCAATTTCTTCACACTGATCCACATCCACTTTCAGGAAAATCACATTGGCAATTTCCCTGGACATTTCCTGTCATGTGAAAAAAAAAAAATCAACTCACTACTTTGGTCTCTGTTTACTTGCCTTTATGTTAGAAAATATCCCCAAAGCTCACCTCAATTTTGGGAGCAATCATTCTGCATGGCCCACACCATGTGGCATAGAAGTCAATCACAACAAGATTTTCACCTGCTTTACTGAGCTTAGCAACCAGGTCTTCCTGCACATGAAAGGAGACAATTTTCCTGTCAATAATGATGCAACATACAAGAGTCTCAAAAACAAAAATAGCTTATGCCTTCCTGCAAGTTTAGAGATGGGCAATGTACATACTGCTGAGTATTGAGCTTTATTATAGCCATCACAACTTATTGCACAATAGCAATAAGTTGTGATGGCTAAAATTTACTGTCATGTTGCACATGTGTGATGTTTTCAAAGTAAATTACTATATTACATTTTTACTCCTCAATTCCTAACATGTAAGGAAGCAGAAGGAATAAGTCACCACTTTATAGAAATGCAGCAATTTTCAGGATAAGAAATACTTGCCTGTACCCTCCAGAATTTCCCAAGTTTTATCCTGCAACAAGTTTAACTGATCTTTTCTCATTTGACTTGTGGAATCTGTAAAAAAAAAACATTTTCTTGGAAACAGAAGTTTGTGGTTTAACAATGATTAATCAACCTTTCCCTGTCAAGTTCTCCCAAAGTCTGTGAGCAACATTCCTTTTCATCATTCTCAAAAATTCCCCCAAAATCTAGAAAAGTAACTTCTTGTAAGTTAAAGATGCTGTCTTTAATGCTATCCTGAAATTTCCCATCAAAATGAATATAGCCAGAAATAACATCTATGTGCCCAATGCTAAAAATAACGTTGGGCAAATTAAAGTGGTTTCAGATTGAGTGCTGACCAGATCCAAATATGACCAGATATGAGATACAAAAAACAGCTCTTGGATCTCATATTAGAAAATCTAGGACCAAGATGGAGCACATCCTCCACAAAGTTGGAATTAAGTCATCTTTCCTGAACTTGCCAATACTTCCAAATGTGAACATTTTGCAATACATATATGATTTTCTTCTTGTAGGTTGATGCCTCCTAAAACAGATAGATGTCAGGGGCTCTTACCCCATATGATAAGGTACCATAGGTTAACCTTGAAGTCTTACTTGAAGTCACTTATATATAATGCATTCCTATCTCTCTAGATTCCCACTTTCACTGGGTTTATGGCAAAGATGCCAGGAAGGGGGGAGGTAGAGGCTGCTGGAGATGATTTATTTTGGAATAGGCTCTTTTAATGATCAAAATTATTATGTATAAGGACCAAGAAACACACAGCCCATGGGTATTTTATCTTGCCTGTGTCTCCATCACACAGGTCACATAACATATCCATAAATACTCAGCACACACTAACCTTCTTTTAGGTTCTTCTTGCTTGCCAAATATTGCATAACCAGTCATAGCACATCATCAAATTCTGGAAACCAGAAGATTTGTATTTGCAGGGTAGGCCCATAAGCCACATCTTCCTAATGTTGACATATAAGTTGCAAACTTCTGTATAGCAGCCTTTCAAATGGATGAATAAATAATGAACCACATATGCCAGTCATTATCTTGAAAATCATTATGAACCTTGTTCAGTGCATCCCTCTTCTTTCCCACATGGAGTCAGCATCTTTGATCCATGCATTGTTAGCATTAAGGCATAGATGCAAGAAAGTTAGAATATAAGAGAAAGATGAGAACAAGTAACAGTCTTAAGTTGGTGCAAATGTCTCCAAACAGCCAAATACTCCTTGTTCCAATAAACCTTATGATAGGCCAAGATGCATAGGATTGTATTGCTGTAAGCACAAGACATACAACATCCTGCTTGGTGTAATTATACACTCTGCCTCTTTAAGGTAACTGTTAAGTGTGTACCCCCTAGAGAAATTGCACTTTTGTCTCCAATGTTTCTAGATTAATTGAACTGGAAAGATACCTAACCTAACCTAACCTGACCTGACCTATCCCTATGGGGTACACAAATGTAACCCCCTCTTTTGTTGTTTGTTCTGCCAGAATAAAATAATGGGAGGATTGCATTGGAATGGGCATCAACTTGTCTTGTCTTAACTGATCCATTCAATGTTCCTCCTTTTGTGTGAGGCCACCAAGGCCTTTCACAGATGGTCTGTTTTGCGCAAATGCCCAACTTCATACTGCTAGGATAGGGCCTAACAGACCTAGGGCAATGTCCAGTTTCTCACCTTGTTCTCAACTTGATGCACCATGATTCTGCGGGGCGAAGGGGAAACCGAAGGTTTTACGAAGCTTCAGGTGCGTGTACGTAAAATACGGCCAAGCAAGACAAGCGAAGAGTAAGCACGAGTCACTTCTCAAGGCAGGTCCTGGTGAAAATCTGTCGTCAAAGAGATAAGACCTATTACACTGATGCTTACTAGCTACAAGTAATATTTTCCACTTCGACACTCATGCATTAGGAACGTCCCATGCACGAGTAATCCGAATGGAATGATAAATTGTCTGACCTAAGTTAGGTGAAAAGCGCAGTAGCACACTCCCACACGAAATGGTGTACAACGGCGTGGAGGCAGGTTGGCAGGCAAAGCGCGGACCTTGCAACATCATAAGTGCTGCTTCAACAATCATTTTGAATGGAAAATACATCAAAGTGATGAAGGGATATTGCCCCAACAGCATGGTTTTGCACAAGCTCATGGGCCAGATTTGATCGTATTCATACAGATGACGGCATGGGAGATGTAACACAACTTTCAAAAAGCGTTAACTTAACAATTGAGCCAATAGACCAAAGCGACCCAAGTGGGGACTGTGACAAGCAGACCGTAAATTCCTTGCCTTAGTTGGGCTTTTGGCCTGTCAGTCCATGCCTTGCCAATCATCTATGCAAATTTGAATGAAGCCCAGGGGTTTGTGCCGAATCATGCTTCTTGAATGTTTCTTAATTGTTTCGATTTCGATAGTTTCCTGCTTGTGTTCATACCCAAGCTGCACGTGATGTCCAGGCAACGTTGCTGCAATTTACGTGAGCTAAATGACGTTGCGGTAACGCCGCATGGACGTCATTTAGATGTATGCGTTGCTTGGGTGTATTCCTATTCACGTTCTGTAATTATCCGTATGCTGGGGTTCTTCAATAGGACAAGGACAGTTTTCGTTGGAAAAATGTATCTTTTTTTAAATATTTATTTATCATGTAGTGTTCCGCTTTACTCACGATAAAGTAGTAATATACATTTTGAGCCTGCTATAAAGCAGAATGGAGATACCAAGTCGCACGACTCTTTTAATGGCCTAGAGAGGGCATTGATTTTTCGCTGACCGATAGCGCTGCGTATGTTATCGGGTTAAAGCAGAGTATGCATTCAGAACTCCAGATGTCGCTTAAGTTGGAGTGCGGACCGTGGTCTCTAAATTTTATGCTGTAGTGACCAAGGAGCGGGCAATGCAGATGACTTCACCAAATCTTCGTCAAGGTTGCTTTCGCTTAGGGTGCATTAACTCAGAAGGGTGTATTACCGCTTTGGATATTCAAGGCTCTAAGATATCTGAGTGGGTGTGATATCATCATACCGTCTCTCATATTTGCCAGACCTGACATGGATTGCAAGAAAACCATCAAGTCGAATTAAAATGCTTGGTTCTCCGACCCCCACTTCATTTTCATATATTCCAATCCAGCTTGATTCTGATCCCTGTGTGCTAGGAAGGGAGATTCTCTCTTCCTAGCACATTACCCCTCAATGAATTCATGCTCAGACAAATGAAGACGGAAGTCCCTTTACCCTCCTCAGAAAGGGAAGAACAACTATATTAAACATTTCTGTATTCAACGAACTGTTCATGGAAACGTGAGTATGCTCCGCGGTACAAATCGGCAGTGTTAAATCCATTGCGTCATACGTAATTGTTTCAAGAATGTCCGTGCTATATTTTTTCCGAGTCACACCCTGAATAGTAGCACGATGGCTATCGGCAATGGGAGCTGATGTGGAATCCTACTTGTCTCATGACCTAGGCTTTGAATAGAAAGATATATACAGGGGTCCAAAAAATTATTGGTACATAAAAAAAAATTCTTGTAAAGTAATACAGATAGTATTGAATTACTTTCACCAATGCATAAAACACAGTCTAAAGTTTTTTATTACTCACAATTGTTCCTCAGTAAACTTCAACATGAGCACCGTTAGTCGCACTTACAATGTCGAGCTAATATTTAATTTCGAGACAAGTATTCCTCAACATGTCGGCAGTAATTGTATGCCCATGTTGAAGTTTACTATGGAAAGAGGTAAAATGCCAAAGAGGTTTCATACGGATACTGAAGCAGAAACCCTCTAATGAGGAATTCAATCACATCACAGGTCTAGATGTTGGCCATTGAATTATAAACGACGTCGACATCTCTTTCCTGTAGATGGGTTGAAATCAAAATATTGAGAGAACCCGTTCGCATGCAAGAAAAAATTTCCTTACGTTCTTGGGCTCACGAAGAAATTCTGCTTGGTGTCCCTCTCCATCTGAACAACCATCGTGGAGACAGGTATTCATCACTTTTTTTTTTTTAGGATAGGCCTACCTTTTATGCATGCAAGACTGAGATCTTCCTCGAACACTTTGTCACAGACGAGTCAGAAAAGAGAGCTCATCCCGAATGAATTCGTTCTTTCCATGCCGAGAGTAGAAGAAGGAATTTCTCTTCACTGTCTCACGTCTTTCCTCCCCTGTCTTGATACGAATTCCTTGAGAGGAAATGTTCTACTCATCGCATCCATGAAATGAAGTTCTCTCTTTCCAGTGCATGGGATCAGAATAAAGTTAGTTATCCCGCATTCCCCATATGTGTTCATTAACAGCACAACGCCCATGACCAGTCCGAAAGCGATTCGAAAGGGTCCACAGTTTCCGTGAAAGGTGGAAGCCTGGTGATTTGACGGAAGGGTCGTCGACTAGCCGGTGATTAGTCACCATCGGCTTGGACCACTCCTCGCGACAGCGCTGCTCCAATGGCACAGCTTGGCCTGATGGCAAGATAGCACTGAGCAGAAGCCGGGATGGGTTGATAGATCAAAGAGGTCGGAGTGGAGAGGCAAGGCAGGATTTGCTTACCCAGAGGCCACCATCTTTTCAATGGCAACCTGACGGCGTATTTGTGGCGGGACTATGTGACATCGCGTAGGGAGCCATGGCGCGAGCGT